TGTGTTATTAGTTTCACCTGTGTCTTTAGTCTCACCTGTGTCTTTAGTCTAACCTGTGTCATGAGTCTCACCTGTGTCACTAGTCTCACCTGTGTCTTTACTCTCACCTGTCTTGTTAGTCTCACCTGTGTCTTTAGTCTAACCTGTGTCATGAGTCTCACCTGTGTCTTTAGTCTAACCTGTGTGCCTGACCTGTGTCTTTAGTCTCACCTGTGTTATTAGTCTCACCTGTGTTTTTAATATCAACTGTGTCACTAGTCTCACCTGTGTCTGAAGTTTCACCTGTGTCATTAGTCTCACCTGTGTCATTAGTCTCACCTGTGACTTTTTAGTCTCACCTGTCTCTTTAGTCTCACCTGTGTCTTTAGTCTTACCTGCGTTATTAGTCTCACCAGTGTCTTTAGTCTCACCTGTCTCTTTAGTCTCACCTGTGTCTTTAGTCTTACCTGCGTTATTAGTCTCACCAGTGTCTTTAGTCTCACGTGTGTAATTAGTCTCACCCGTGTCTTTAGTCGCACCTGTGTCTTGTCAGTCTCACCTGTGTCATTAGTCTCACCTGTGTTATTAGTCTCATCTGTGTCTTTAGTCTCACCTATGTCTTGTTAGTCTCACCTGTGTCCTTAGTCTTACCTGTGTCTTTAGTCTCACCTGTGTCACTAATCTCACCTGTGTCTTTAGTCTCACCTGTTTCTTCAGTCTCACCAGTGTCTTGTCAGTGTCACCTATGTCTTTAGTCTCACCTGTGTCTTCAGTCTCACCTGTGTCATTAGTCTCACCTGTGTTATTAGTCTCACCTGTGTCTTTAGTCTCAACTGTGTCTTGTTAGTCTCACCTGTGTCTTTATTCTCACCTGTGTCTTTAGTCTCACCTGTGTCACTAGTCTCACCTGTGTTATTAGTCTCACCTGTGTCTTTAGTCTCACCTGTGTCTTCAGTCTCACCTGTGTTTTGTCAGTGTCACCTATGTCTTTAGTCTCACCTGTCATTAGTCTCACCTGTGTCATTAGTCTCACCTGTGTCTTTAGTCTCACCTGTCTTGTTAGTCTCACCTGTCTTTAGTCTCACCTGTCTTGTTAGTCTCACCTGTCTTTAGTCTAACCTGTGTGCCTGACCTGTGTCTTTAGTCTCACCTGTGTTATTAGTCTCACCTGTGTTATTAGTTTCACCTGTGTCTTTAGTCTCACCTGTGTCTTTAGTCTAACCTGTGTCATGAGTCTCACCTGTGTCACTAGTCTCACCTGTGTCTTTACTCTCACCTGTCTTGTTAGTCTCACCTGTGTCTTTAGTCTAACCTGTGTCATGAGTCTCACCTGTGTCTTTAGTCTAACCTGTGTGCCTGACCTGTGTCTTTAGTCTCACCTGTGTTATTAGTCTCACCTGTGTTTTTAATATCAACTGTGTCACTAGTCTCACCTGTGTCTGAAGTTTCACCTGTGTCATTAGTCTCACCTGTGTCATTAGTCTCACCTGTGACTTTTTAGTCTCACCTGTGTTATTAGTCTCACCTGTCTCTTTAGTCTCACCTGTGTCTTTAGTCTTACCTGTGTTATTAGTCTCATCAGTGTCTTTAGTCTCATGTGTGTCATTAGTCTCAGCTGTGTCTTTAGTCGCACCTGTGCCTTGTTAGTCTCACCTGTGTCTTTAGTCTCACCTGTGTTTCTTTAGTCTCACCTGTGTTTCTTTAGTCTCACCTGTGTTATTAGTTTCACCTGTGTCTTTAGTCGCACCTGTGTCACTAGTCTCACCTGTCATTAGTCTCACCTGTGTCTTTAGTCTCAGCTGTGTCACTCGTCTCACCTATGTCATTAGTCTCACCTGTGACTTTTTAGTCTCACCTGTCTTTAGTGTCACCTGTGTTTCTTTAGTCTCACCTGTGTCACTAGTCTCACCTGTGTTATTAGTTTCACCTGTGTCTTTAGTCTCACCTGTGTCACTAGTCTCACCTATGTCATTAGTCTCACCTGTGTCTTTAGTCTCACCTGTGTCTTTAGTCTCACCTGTCTTGTTAGTCTCACCTGTGTCTTTAGTCTAACCTGTGTCTTTAGTCTAACCTGTGTCACTAGTCTCACCTGTGTCTTTACTCTCACCTGTCTTGTTAGTCTCACCTGTGTCTTTATTCTAACCTGTGTCATGAGTCTCACCTGTGTCTTGTGTCTGACCTGTGTCTTTAGTCTCACCTGTATTATTAGTCTCACCTGTGTTTTTAATATCAACTGTGTCACTAGTCTCACCTGTGTCTGAAGTTTCACCTGTGTCATTAGTCTCACCTGTGTCATTAGTCTCACCTGTGACTTTTTAGTCTCACCTGTCTCTTTAGTCTCACCTGTGTCTTTAGTCTTACCTGCGTTATTAGTCTCACCAGTGTCTTTAGTCTCACGTGTGTAATTAGTCTCACCCGTGTCTTTAGTCGCACCTGTGCCTTGTTAGTCTCACCCGTGTCTTTAGTCTCACCTGTGTCACTAATCTCACCTGTCATTAGTCTCACCTGTGTCTTTAGTCTCACCTGTGTCTTTAGTCTCACCTGTGTTATTAGTCTCACCTGTGTTTTTAGTCTCACCTGTGTCTTGTCAACCTCACCTGTGTCTTTAGTCTCACCTGTGTTATTAGTCTCATCTGTGTCTTTAGTCTCACCTATGTCTTGTTCGTCTCACCTGTGTCCTTAGTCTCACCTGTGTCTTTAGTCTCACCTGTGTCACTAATCTCACCTGTGTCTTTAGTCTCACCTGTTTCTTCAGTCTCACCCGTGTCTTGTCAGTGTCACCTGTGTCTTGTCAGTGTCACCTATGTCTTTAGTCTCACCTGTGTCTTCAGTCTCACCTGTGTCTTTAGTCTCACTTGTGTCATTAGTCTCACCTGTGTTATTAGTCTCACCTGTGTCTTTAGTCTCAACTGTGTCTTGTTAGTCTCACCTGTGTCTTTAGTCTCACCTGTGTCACTAGTCTCACCTGTGTTATTAGTCTCACCTGTGTCTTTAGTCTCACCTGTGTCTTCAGTGTCACCTGTGTCTTGTCAGTGTCACCTATGTCTTTAGTCTCACCTGTGTCTTCAGTCTCACCTGTGTTATTAGTCTCACCTGTGTCTTTAGTCTCACCTGTGTCTTTAGTCTCAACTGTGTCTTGTTAGTCTCACCTGTGTCACTAGTCTCACCTGTGTCTTTAGTCTCACCTGTGTCTTTAGTCTCACCTGTGTCTTTAGTCTCACCTGTCTTGTTAGTCTCACCTGTCTTTAGTCTCACCTGTCTTGTTAGTCTCACCTGTCTTTAGTCTCACCTGTCATTAGTCTCACCTGTGTTGTTAGTCTCACCTGTATCTTGTTAGTCTCACCTGTGTCTTTAGTCTCACCTGTGTCTTTATTCTCACCTGTGTCACTAGTCTCACCTGTGTTATTAGTCTCACCTGTGTCTTTAGTCTCACCTGTGTCTTCAGTCTCACCTGTGTTTTGTCAGTGTCACCTATGTCTTTAGTCTCACCTGTCATTAGTCTCACCTGTGACATTAGTCTCACCTGTGTCTTGTTAGTCTCACCTGTGTCTTCAGTCTCACCTGTGTCTGATGACCTGTGTGTGTAATTCGTCTTCTTGTCACTTCATTGGTCTCCTCTGTGTTCCTGTGATTGGCTCGTTGTTAATCTTTACTCCTCTTCTGTTCAGAGTTTTTCAGTTGGACTGAAATGAACTTTGATTGAATATTTCTTTTGGAGTAACTGAATAAAACATTATTGAAAGAATGAGAGAAAGAGATGTTGAGAGGATGTGTAGTGATTGACTTTAATGTTTGCAGAGTAACAAAAAGACGTCATAGAAACATGAAGACGTGATGATGTCAGGATGCCGCTGCTCTTCAATCATAGTAGCATTATTTCAATCCTGATTCTCTGCATACATCAGCTCTTCTCATGGTTTTATAATATCTGCAGAGATGGTTTATAAAGTTCAAACTAACAGACATCGTGTGATTCTCTCAAATATCAGAAACTATTAAAGTATGACTTTGATCAGCTGACGTTCGTATGAACATTTAATCCTAAAAAAAAGAGACAACAAAAACAATCCAGAGGCCAGTCAGATGCAGAACCCTGGCTCAGCACTAGGGGGCACAGGGGGGGTAGAGTCTGGTATCTGGTAGAGTGATGTCATCTGCATACAGGTGTATCTGAGAGAGTGATGTCATCTGCATACAGGTGTATCTGATAGAGTGATGTCATCTGCATACAGGTGTATCTGGTAGAGTGATGTCATCTGCATACAGGTCTACCTAGTCGAGTGATGTCATCTGCATACAGGTGTATCTGGTAGAGTGATGTCATCTGCATACAGGTCTACCTGATAGAGTGATGTCATCTGCATACAGGCGTATCTGAGAGAGTGATGACATCTGCATACTGGTGTACCTGGTAGAGTGATGTCATCTGCATACGGGTGTACCTGGTAGAGTGATGTCATCTGCATACAGGCGTATCTGAGAGAGTGATGTCATCTGCATACTGGTGTATCTGGTATAGTGATGTCATCTGCATACAGGTGTATCTGGTATAGTGATGTCATCTGCATACAGGCGTATCTTCATACCTTTAAGGGGATTAAAAGCCAGTCATTTTATTTGTTTTATGTGCTGCACTGTGCAGAAGTTAAATGGTTTGGGGTTAACCTGATCTGGATTGGTATTAAGGATAACCATAAACAACAAAATACTCATGGGAACCAGTGTGATTGTGTAAATATGTACATATGTATGTATGTGTGTGTATGTGTGTATATATTTGTGTGTTTATGTGTATAAATGTTTGTGTTTGTGTATATATGTTTATATATGTGTGTATATATGTATATATGTGTATGTGTGTATGTGTGTATATGTGTATGTATGTGTTTGTGTGTATATGTATGCACGTCTCTTTTCTAGGATTTTCTTTCTTTCTTTCTTTATTATAATGTCGGTCCATAATCGTCTATGTAGAAGTCCTTCAAAATTTTTAATTTGTATTTTCTGTTACCCACATTGTGTTTATGTTTCTGATTATTTATTGTTTTTCTACTATCTCCTTTTTCCATGATTATGAACAAATAAGTGACAGTTTGACAATTGTTTGACAAAGTCTGTCTTTGATGTTTCAGGAAACAATAAAAATCAAAATGGAAAAAAGGAAGAAAGGCCCTTCAGCCTGTTGTCCGGCGATCCAGAGAAAAGTTTCCAAAGACAGAAAGGAGACATTAAATCAGAGTTTCTATGAAAGAACAAAAGTAACCTATGGGGACAGAAATAAGAAAGTGTTGACAAGCTTTCCTTCAACACGATTAAAACATGAAATGATTAAAGGTAATTTTCTCAGTATGAACTCTTTGGCTGTCGTCATGGCTACAGTCGAGGCGAGCAGATGAAACGATGAAGAGTGACCACAACGTCTCAAGCTGTACAAACAAACAAAAGAGAGGTTAGTGAACAGACTTCAGTTAATTAGCTTAGCATCGATCACCTTCACTCAAACAGAAACTCACGTTTAATGACGACTTCAGCCAACGCCTCGCTGGAGCCCACGTGGTTAGATGCCACACATTTGAACGTGCCCCCATCGCTCAGTTTAACACGAGCTATTAGCAGCTTTCCATCCCTGGTGCTCTCTGCACCTGCAGGCAGGCTGGTCTGGCCCACCCGGGTCCACTTAAAGCCAATGGGGTGAGAGCCATGAGCAAGGCACTGCACGCTCAGAGCATCACCTGGACGGAGCCTCACCTGCTCAGGTAGACATGTGGCGTACGGAGGGCCTGCGAGGAGAGGAGAATGAGTCTGACCTGAGGACAGGAGGAGCGTCTAGATGTTTCTGTGTTCACTATATTTAACTTACTCTCCACCTCCATCTGTGTGTACGCCTCACTGTAACCGTGGAGGTTGGTGGCATTACAGATGTATTGTCCTGAATCCTGGCGCCCCACTCTGCTCAGCGTTAAAACTCCATCCACCATCGTGTGTTTCCATGGCAACGGTGCTCTGAGCTTGGACCAAGTGATGACAGGTGTAGGGGAACCTGAAAGACAGAAGAGAACGTGAGATTTACACACATAAACAAACAAACTAACAAACAAACAAACAAACATCTCACCACTGGCGACACACGTCATCGTCACCATGTTTCCCTCCACCACGGTCATCTCTGAAGCGCTCACTGAGGCCACCGGGGCTCCCAGCCCCCCCTCAACAATCACATCAACTTTGACCTCGGTCACCCCCTCAGAGTTTGAAGCCTGGCAGATATAAACCCCCGAGTCCTCCGGGTGCACCGCGGCCCACTGAGCAAACAGACGGCAACGACCTCATTCACCACTCGTCTTTAAAAATCTGATAAATCTGATAAAACTGTTTCATATGTTTCTGCTCCTATTGTACCTGTATTGTGTTGACATCGTTCGTCTCCTTGGTAACCAGCTGCAGGGTGGAGCCCTGGCGTTTCCAGCTCATTTTTGGGCGTGGCCTGCCTGAAGCCCGACACTCCACCGACACGGCGTCCCCCATCCTGACCCTCAGGGGCCCTGCTGGTGTCAACCGCACCTTAGGAGCATCTGACAGAGACATGAGAAGCATTAACCCTGCAGTTAGTTAGTTAGTTTATGGCCACATGGGGGCAGCAGAGGCAAGTGTTGGACACAACACTGACATATCAAAAGTTTTTGTCTGGTTTGAACGGGTGTTATATCTTGTGACTGAACATCTTTTAAATGTCTTTTACAGGAAACACTTACTGGGACGTCAGTGGCTCTTTAGCTGCTAGATGTTCCACGATGTTCACGAGCTAACTGTTAACATCGTCGAGCTAACTGTTAACATCGTTGAGCTAACTGCTAACATGGTCAAGCTAACTGTTAACATCGTCGAGCTAACTGTTAACATCGTCGAGCTAACTGCTAACATCATCGAGCTAACTGTTAACATCATCGAGCTAACTGTTAACGTCGTTGAGCTAACGGCTAACATCGTCAAGCTAACTGCTGACATCGTCGAGCTAACTGCTGACATCGTCGAGCTAACTGCTGACGTCGTCGAGTTAACTGCTAACATCGTCGAGCTAACTGTTACCATCGTTGAGCTTACTGCTAACATCATCAAGCTAACTGCTAATGTCGTTAAGCTAACTGCTAACGTCATCGAGTTAACTGCTAACGTCGTTGAGCTAACTGCTGACGTCGTCGGGCTAATGGCTAACGTCGTCGAGCTAACTGCTAACGTCGTCGAGCTAACAGCTAACATCGTCAAGCTAACTGCTGACATCGTTGAGCTAACTGCTGACATCGTCGAGCTAACTGCTGACGTCGTCGAGTTAACTGCTAACATCGTCGAGCTAACTGTTACCATCGTTGAGCTTACTGCTAACATCATCAAGCTAACTGCTAATGTCGTTAAGCTAACTGCTAACATCATCGAGTTAACTGCTAACGTCGTTGAGCTAACTGCTGACGTCGTCGGGCTAACGGCTAACATTGTCAAGTTAACTGCTAACGTCGTCGAGCTAACTGCTAACATTGTTGAGCTAACTGCTAATGTCATCGAGCTAATGTTGTCGAGCTAACTGCTGACGTCGTCAGGCTAACGTCGTCGGGTTTACGTTGTCGGCTAACGTCGTCAGGCTAACGTCGTCGAGTTAATTGCTAACATCGTTGAGCTAACTGCTAATGTCATCGAGCTAATGGCTAACATCGTCGCGCTAACTGCTGACGTCGTCGGGCTAACGGCTAACATCGTCGAGCTAACTGCTGACATCGTTGAGCTAACTGCTAATGTCATCGAGCTAACTGCTAACGTTGTTGAGCTAACTGCTAATGTCATCGAGCTAACGGCTAACGTTGTCGAGCTAACTGCTGACGTCGTCGGGCTAATGGCTAACGTCATCGAGCTAACTGCTGATCGTCGTCTGTTAGCAGCTCTGTGGAGCCTGAGTTCACCGAGCTTCAAGCTGATAAGATCCTGTGACTGTCGGGCCCAGCAGCTGTTGAAGAAACTGCTATCATGATATAAAGTAAAGATGAGATATTCAAACAAGAAGCCTGGCTTTGAACTGAATCGTGGAGATGAGCTCACATTTGACGTTGAGGACAGCGGTCGCCGTGCCTCGGCCTGCAGAGTTGCTCGCCACACAGCGGAACTGTCCCTGGTTTGCGGGTCGAGAGTTAGCGACGGTCAGCACAGAGCCTCCAGGACCCACCTTCACATTTTCTACGAGACAGATGAAGAAGTCAGTGACACGTTTCACCACTCCTTCACGTTAGTGTTAACACTAGTATAATAAGTTGATCCCTCTGACCTTGTAACGCTTGGTTATTGGCTCGTCTCCACTCCAGCTGGACCGGCTGTGCACCGCCCCCCAGTTGGCACCTGAAGCTGGCCGACTCCCCTTGGCGTACAGTCGCTGTCCGGGGCTCCACGGAGACTACAGGCGCCTGCGCACACACTGCAGACACACATGAACCTTTAGTCGAGTAAACGATCAGCGACCTCAAAGCAAATAAAGTGAGCAAACACACAGACTGAACAGAGGGGCTCAGAAGACCATGATCACAGTCCTTCATCAACAGCGAGTTGAAATAAATCATCTTTATTTATATGACTAAAGTTCTCTGGTCTCAGGTCTTATATATTATAACGTTCATATTTCCACTCCTCTGAAAGACAAACAGACGTGGAGCCTGCAGACTGAGAAATCCACGTTACTCTCTAAAAACAGCGACCACATGTTTTTATCAGACTTCATTCAAAGACAAAAGTTTCTTTAACAGTTTCAGACTGTTCGAAGGACCATCACAGATCAGGACATGAATTCAAATCCTGCTGGTCAAACCTAACTGTCGATTTAGAACCACGAGCTTCATGAACGTTCAATGAAGAAAGTTACCAGATAGAAAGACAAAGAAGAGAGACGTGATGATCTGTCTCGTTCAGTCTGTTTGAGTTAAATGAAATCTTTTACCTGAACATAATAACGACGACAGGATGAGAAGCTCAGGTAAGAGGTCCATGATGAACAGTCTCTCTCTCTTTCTGTGTCTCCTCTTCATACAATCACTGAAGACCTTTGACCCCTCACTCACCACGTAGCCCCGCCCCTCCTCAGTCTCGTCATGTCTGAAGCATTCACTGACTGACTGTGTCCCGACATCTCATTGGTTTAAACCGAGCGGCCTAGTGTAAGTATGCCCTCAGTGTTTCTATCATTAGTTTAACGTAATGCCATTGGTCAGTTTTATTTCTTCTTTTATTTTGCCATTTCACCTCCTTGTGTGTTTCTTTACTCTAATCTTCTGAAGTTCAGTGCTTCCTGTTTTATTTTGTCACTTGTCACTCTCTTCCCTGAGTTTCCCTCGTCTTGTATTTACTGTTTCCGATTTTATTTTGTGGTTCTTTGTTCCTGTGTTTTCTGTTATGTTTGATTTCCTCCCTTTGTCTGTTTTCCCTCCATTATGATTGCCCTAATGGTCCTCACCTGTGTCATGAGTCTCACCTGTGTCACTAGTCTCACCTGTGTCTTTACTCTCACCTGTCTTTAGTCTTACCTGTGTCTTGTTAGTCTCACCTGTGTCATGAGTCTCACCTGTGTCACTAATCTCACCTGTGTCTTTACTCTCACCTGTCTTTAGTCTTACCTGTGTCTTGTTAGTCTCACCTGTGTCATGAGTCTCACCTTTGTCTTGTTAGTCTCAGCTGTGTCATTAGTCTCACCTGTGCCTTTAGTCTCATCTGTCTTGTTAGTCTCACCTGTCTTTAGTCTCACCTGTGTCTTGTTAGTCTCACCTTTGTCTTGTTAGTCTCAGCTGTGTCATTAGTCTCACCTGTGCCTTTAGTCTCATCTGTCTTGTTAGTCTCACCTGTCTTTAGTCTCACCTGTGTCTTGTTAGTCTCACCTGTGTCTTGTTAGTCTCACCTGTCTTGTTAGTCTTGTCACTAGTCTCACCTGTGTCTTTAGTCTCATCTGTGTCTTTAGTCTCACCTGTGTGTCTTTAGTCTGACCTGTGTTATTAGTCTCACCTGTGTATTTAGTCTCACCTGTGTCTTTAGTCTCACTTGTGTCACTAGTCTCACCTGTGTTATTAGTCTCACCTGTGTCTTTAGTCTGACCTGTGTTTTTAGTCTCACCTGTGTCTTTAGTCTCACCTGTGTATTTAGTCTCACCTGTGTCTTTAGTCTCACTTGTGTCACTAGTCTCACCTGTGTTATTAGTCTCACCTGTGTCTTTAGTCTGACCTGTGTTATTAGTCTCACCTGTGTCTTTAGTTTCACTTGTGTCACTAGTCTCACCTGTGTCTTTAGTCTCACCTGTGTCACTAGTCTCACCTGTGTTATTAGTCTCACCTGTGTCTTGTCAGTGTCACCTGTGTCTTCAGTGTCACCTGTGTCTTGTCAGTGTCACCTGTGTCTTTACTCTCACCTGTCTTGTTAGTCTCAACTGTCTTTAGTCTCACCTGTCATTAGTCTCACCTGTGTTTTTAGTCTCACCTGTGTTAGTCTCACCTGTGTAGTCTCACCTGTCATTAGTCTCACCTGTCTTTAGTCTCACCTGTCATTAGTCTCACCTGTCTTTTTAGTCTCACCTGTGTCTTCAGTCTCACCTGTCTTGTTAGTCTCACCTGTGTTTTGTTAGTCTCACCTGTGTCTTCAGTCTCACCTGTGTCTGATGACCTGTGTGTGTAATTCGTCTTCTTGTCACTTCATTGGTCTCCTCTGTGTTCCTGTGATTGGCTCGTTGTTAATCTTTACTCCTCTTCTGTTCAGAGTTTTTCAGTTGGACTGAAATGAACTTTGATTGAATATTTCTTTTGGAGTAACTGAATAAAACATTATTGAAAGAATGAGAGAAAGAGGGAGACGTTGAGAGGATGTGTAGTAATTGACTTTAATGTTTGCAGAGTAACAAAAAGACGTCATAGAAACATGAAGACGTGATGATGTCAGGATGCCGCTGCTCTTCAATCATAGTAGCATTATTTCAATCCTGATTCTCTGCATACATCAGCTCTTCTCATGGTTTCATAATATTTGCAGAGATGGTTTATAAAGTTCAAACTAACAGACATCGTGTGATTCTCTCAAATATCAGAAACTATTAAAGTATGACTTTGATCAGCTGACGTTCGTACGAACATTTAACCCTAAAAAAAAGAGACAACAAAAACAATCCAGAGGCCAGTCAGATGCAGAACCCTGGCTCAGCACTAGGGGGCACAGGGGGGTGAAACACGGCCTGCAGCTGAACTTTGAACTCGGACGTCCTGGTTAAAGCTTCTTTGGTTCGGTTGCTTACAAAGCTTTAAAGAAACACAAAAAGCTGTGAGAGTAAAAATATATTTACAACTTTAAGAGAAGCAACACCACAGGATACACACGCTGACCAGCGACCACCAGCTGGACTTATGGTCACACCTGTCGGCGAGACGTCTGAACGTACCCGTCACAACCTCAGAGTCAAACAAAGGCAAAGAAACGATATAAACACTTTTTAAAATCACTATCACATGCTTTCTTTTTGTGTTTTATTATTTTAACTCTAAGAAATAAAAGAGAGTACAAATCTAAAGATACCTAAGGGGTGGGGGGGTGGGGCAGCCTGCAGGGGGGTGGGGTTTGCTGGGGGGGGGGAGGGGTCAGCCTGCAGGGAGAGTAAAAATATGGAAGAGAGAGTTCTGAAGAGTCTGTGGAGGTCAGCCTGCAAGGGGGGGGGGGGGGGGTTGACTGGAGGTCATCCTGCAGGGGGGCGGTGGCGGCGGCTGGAGGTGAAGTAGTGCTCGCTGGCCGGTGTTGGGGGGGGAGGGTGGGTGCTGTTGTCCCTCTGTCCCTCAGGGTCCTACAGACAAGGGGGGAACAGGAAGTCAGCTCTCAGACTCTGAACATGCCGACATGTTTATATTCATTAAAACATCCTGAACGTCTCTTTGAACGTCCAGACCGTTTTTCTCTGATGCTGATTTTGATTCATAATCCGATAAAAAGTGTAACGTTAGGAAACCCTGCACACCAACACATTTCCGAGCACACCCCCTGAAATGTTCACCAGTTAGACATTTGAAACAGAGCTGCTCACATGTGACTCTGAGGAGACGTCCTGCAGGTTAATCCTCACAACCTCCCTTCAGGAGAGAAACATGGAGCCGGGTATCCTCCTGGAAACACACACACACACACACACACACACACACACACACACACACACACACACACACACACACACACACACACACACACACACACACACACACACACACACACAAATACCTTAACTTTTGTTAACACACACACACTGCCCTATAAACGGAGCCGTCAACAGGCAGAGAGTATGTGTCTGTGTGTGTCTGTGTGTGTGTGTGTTGACATGAAGCACTTTTCTTCTGATTGTTTGTGTTCATATAAACATATAAACAAAGTGTGTGTGTTTATGTTAATGTGTATTTCCTTCTGCTGATGGGGATTCATCGGCCTGCCTCGTGTGGACAGTGGGGATACTGCAGCTCTGTTGTTTTCACTCCATCAGAGAGACCGTGGAAGTTATTAATGGACCCTCTGTGAAGTCACGTGTGTGTGCTCGTACCTGAGTTTGGCGTGGCTGGAGAGTTGCCTTGGCTGGCCTGTGAGGACGCGCTTGCCGCCGTCTTCATGGCGTACATGTTGGCTTCCTCCTGGAGCTTTGAAACGTTCTTCTTATAGCGAATCCGCTTATTTCCAAACCAGTTGGCAACCTGAGAGGTGAACACACACACAGTTTAAATCACCACTCTTAAACCAACCCCCCCCCCCCCCCCGCTGGTCTCTGGCATTCTCACCTGAGACACGGTGATGGAACACTTCTTGGCAAGCTCCTCCTTGGCCTCCTCGCTCGGGTACGGGTTCGCCAGATGGGAGTAAAAGTATTCATTGAGGATCTCTGCCGCCTGCTTGCTGAAGTTTCTCCGTTTCCGCCTGACGGAGGAAGAAGAATCATCGTCACTCAGTCACACCAATCAGAAGACAGAGGCCCCCCTTCTTCTACCCAAGAACACACCCACCTGGCGTCCAGGAAGCGTGAGCGCAGGATCATGACGGCCTCACACGTGCTCTGCTTCAGCTGCATCTGGATGGTGTTAAACTTGCGGTGGATGATTCCCACCATCCGCTCGATCTCTTTGGGAGAGACCGGCCGCGTACGGGACTGCTCCCTCAGCAGGTTCATCACGTGGTCTGTGAATTCATTGCACGCCTGGAGAAAAGGGGAGGTGTCTGTTTAATGATCTTGTTTTGACTTTGACAGTTTGATTCTCTTACGAATACGAACGTCCCACCTGTTCGTATTTCTCCAGCTCGGCGTGATACATCTGTCGTATCTGAGCCAGCTTCTCTCTGTACTCGCTGTGCTGTAAGCTCCCATCGCTGGGCGACGCTCCGGCTGCAACGGCAACCGCTGCCGCTGCTGCAGACGCCCCACCCTTCTCCAAGCCAGCGACACCCTCGGCTAACAGCATGTTGTCGAGCCTCAATATCTGAGGGTCAGGACCGTCCTCCTCCTGGATCCCTCGGATACCCAGAGCTGTGGAGACCAGCAGAGACGTGAAGTGTAATACTGGTTTTTAAGCAGCAGGGGGCCCTATCTAACAGACATGGCTGAAGCAAAGTAGGATCCTGCTGAGAGGAGGTGAGGAGGTGAGGAAGTGAGGAGGTGAGGAGGATTTCAGGAGTGCATGTGGAGTGAACACGCCTCTTTTCTTTTGGCTCTGACGCCGAACGCTCTTCACTGAATGTGAGATATGACAGGAAGCAGCTCGTCACATTTACCCAAACGACCCTGAGACAAATTAGGGAAGGAACTCTACACTGCAACAAATGTGACATTTCACATCTGCATGTGTGAAAGCAAACGCCCGAAAAAGATGATTTTCTGGCACAAACTTCACCAACTGACAAGGTGCATGAAGAGTGAAAGGCTTAGAAGAGGTCAAAATGCTCCAGCAACACTTGTAGTAAGAAGATCAACTTTATTGAAACAATTGAAAGCAAACTTCTGCATGAAGTGAACTAGGTGAGCCGATGTGAGGACGCAGCAGGAAATGTTCATGAGAATTCACCTGGAGCAGGCGGGGGTGGGGGTGGGGGGCATGTGTCTCTATAGGCTGCATAACTACACTCTAAAAAACCTTCAGTCTAAGCAGTCAGGAAGCAGCAGCGGAGCAGAGACAGTTTACATGAAGAAAATCAGTGCCAGCTCTTCTTGGCATCCTGCTGCCCAAAGAGAAAACAGCCACACACACACACACACACACACACACACACACACACACAGAAGTACAAGCAGACACACGCCCACACAGCTGTTAATTAATGGCAGCTCTTAAGGAGCGACTAAAGACCCGGTGAAAAATGATCGCTCATTTGAGAGGTCGTTAATTTGCACAGTTATGCAAATTAGGCGCCAATTACAGTGTTGTTCCAGAGATCATCTCACATTCATAATCCAGCAACGAGGGCAACGACAACCCCCGCACCTGACTCACTCACACACACACACACACACACACACACACACACACACACACACACGGTGTCTGAGAGGAATCGATGAGCTGCAGAAGGTTCACCGCTGTGCTCCACTGAAGCTCAATGGCTCTGCAGAAGGTTGTCATCTTTCAGGTCGTACCACGAGGTTTGGGGTCACGGTTCAGGTCAAACCTTGAGGTTTGGAGTAACGGTTCAGGTCATACTGTGAGGTTTGGGGTCACGGTTAAGGCTGTACCTTGAGGTTTGGGGTAACGGTTCAGGTCGTACCTTGGGGTTTGGGGTAACGGTTCAGGTCGTACTTTGAGGTTTGGGGTCACGGTTCAGGTCTTACCTTGAGGTTTGGGGTCAGGGTTCAGGCATTACCTCTGGGTTTGGGGTCACATGATGGACTGCTGTGACAGTTAAAGTTTGTACAGTAAACCTGGTAGTCTAACCCCGACCTGAAGGTGTAATAAATGTTTATAAACGTCCAGGAGGACATTTCCTGTTCAGTTCATCAGACTTCCTGTTTATACGCTAGTTTCCTGTTTAATAATTATTCCATCGAGCCCTCAGAGTGACTCTGTCAAAGACTCGGATGATGGAGATCTTCTGCATCACCGAACAGAGCGCGCTCTCTCAGAGGGAATTATTCTGTCTGAGGTCACGAGAGGCAAACCGTCCCCTGCTGAGACTCTGACCGTACCGAACACTGACGGGCTGCAGGGTCTTACGGGCTGCAGGGTCTTACGGGCTGCAGGGTCTGACGGGCTGCAGGGTCTTACACGCTGCAAGGTCTGGCGGGCTGCAAGGTCTTACTGGCTGCAAGGTCTGGCTGCAAGGTCTTACGGGCTGCAGGGTCTTACTGGCTGCAATGTCTGGCTGCAGGGTCTTACGGGCTGCAAGGTCTTACGGGCTGCAGGGTCTTACTGGCTGCAATGTCTGGCTGCAGGGTCTTACGGGCTGCAGGGTCTTACGGGCTGCAAGGTCTTACGGGCTGCAAGGTCTTACGGGCTGCAGGGTCTTACTGGCTGCAATGTCTGGCTGCAGGGTCTTACGGGCTGCAAGGTCTTACGGGCTACAGGGTCTTACGGGCTGCAGGGTCTGACAGGCTACAGGGTTTTACTGGCTGCAGGGTCTGACGGGCTACAGGGTCTTACTAGCTGCAGGGTCTTACGGGCTGCAGAGTTTTTTCGTTATGTGAGGAGACTCTCCCTGTCAGACGGGGGGGGATCACAGGGAATAAAGGTCACCACCCCCTCCCACTCGCTCCAGGTGAATTCTCCTGATTATATCCTGCTGCGTTGATGCTCAGCATGATAAACTTCAGTCTGTCTCTATGTTCACTTACTAACTCTCTGGATGAATCCAGAAACCTGGTTCAAGCTGCTCCCTCCATGTGGGCAGTTAGCTGATCCCTCACCTGAGGCTGCTACCTGATCATGAATTCAGTCAGCTCTAAATTTGTAGTCAAAAGGTTCAGGAGCAGGGCGCGCTGGTTGCGCAATTGTTAGGGCGCGCGTCCCATGTATTGAGACTCTCGTCTCGAGCGGTAGGCCCGGGTTCGTTCCACCCGTGGCCCCCCACTCTCTCTCCCTGGTTTGAATTCAGTCAGCTCTAAATTTGTAGTCAAAAGGTTCAGGAGCAGGGCGCGCTGGTGGCGCAATTGTTAGGGCGCGCGTCCCATGTATTGAGACTCTCGTCTCGAGCGGTAGGCCCGGGTTCGCTTCCACCCGTGGCCCCCCACTCTCTCTCCCTGGTTTCCGACTCTATCCACTGTCCTCTCTCTGCATTAAAGGCACGAAAAGCCCAAAATAAATCTTAAAAAAAAAAAAAAGTTCAGGAGGATAGGTGGTGACACTGTCCTGCAGTGTGTATGTGTCTCCTTAATGTCTGATCATAGAGTAAGGTCACTTCATCATTAAATACTCACCCATCTTCTCCTTCATCTCACACAGGACGCTGAAGAGGGCCGGCTTCATTCTGTGGCAGTTTAAAGCGTGTTTCCTGTTTCAGAGGTTAAAAGAGAGAGAGAGAGAGGTGGTCACGTCAGACCAAACTCACCCTCTGTAGGAACATGATCTGTTCACAGGTCATCCCTCTAAATGAATAGCTGAAACAGTGAAGTAGTCTTGGAATAGAAATGTTGACTTGAACTTAGAGCGGTGTTGTTGGAGTTTTAAACGGTCATGGCGTGGACACAAAGCGCCGCAGAAACTCTGAGCACGTGAGCGAGTGGAATCAGGACAGAGCACATTTCTGACTAATTCACCTGAGTGCAGAACAGGAAGAGCATGAACACACAAACATGAACGAGTGAGAGACAGAGAGACAGAGAGGGAGCGAGAGAGAGAGACAGAGAGAGAGAGACAGAGAGGGAGAGAGAGAGAGAGACAGAGAGAGGGAGAGAGAGAGAGAGGAGAGAGAGGGAGAGAGAGACAGAGAGAGAGAGAGAGACAGACAGAGAGGGAGAGAGAGAGAGAGAGAGAGAGAGGGAGAGAGAGAGAGAGAGACAGAGAGAGGGAGAGAGAGAGACAGAGAGAGAGAGGTGAATCACTGAGTTAACACGTTTGGTTCTTTAACTTTTCATCAGGGGATCTGATCTGAGAATCACTTTTATAATCACATGACATCAGCCTATCATATCCTGCGCTGGTTTGAAGCGTCCTCATATGATCACTAGGAGCAGTGTAGCGTTGTTTGGTGAGAGGGCCGCTACAACAATGGCAGAAAGTTTAGAAGAAAAGTTAACGGATCAATTCCCCAACTACCCACATGGGATGATGTGTCGTTGCTGTTGCATAGCAACAAACATTTATACCAAAACAGCTGGCCACAGATCACTGTAGGACCCCCCCGGACATCCAAACACTTAGCCTACAGCTTGTTCTTAAAACGGTTCAAAGTTCAATCATGTGATGTTTTTTTCTCTTGTGTTGGAAACCTTCAGTTTATCATCTGTGTCTGGTTTGTTATAAAGCTGGGATGAGATTGTATCAGTCTGTGTGGACGAGGTGAGCAGCCAGGTGAGCGTGTGTTAATGAGGAGGGAAGTTAACGCTGGACACACGAGGCCTGCACGTCTGTTAGCTTTTAGCATGTAGCCCATGCTAAACGACCTGTAGATTAATACAATATATTTTATTTGGATCAATAATTACACATTTCAGGGGAGGGACCCCATTTGAATATCAGGAGACTTTAGAGGTCGTGACCCCAAGGTTGGGATAGCCTGGAGTAGACTGATGGACAGCCGAGACCTCACCGGGGGTCTTAAGGGGGAAGCCGTCACATTAGTCCCACATCACCTCAGGAAGGCCGGACAGCTAACTCTGACATCCCAGAGACCCCCCCATCCCAGATCCCCCCCCCCCCTCCCCCCAAACAACAAAGTCACATATAGAGTAATACTTCTGATCACGCCGTGTGAGTCAGCGTGTGGTTAAAGGTGTGTAGGACCATGTGTTTAACATGTGTGTAGCGTGTGTGTGTGTGTAGGACCATGTGTGTGTATGTGTAGGACCATGTGTTTAACATGTGTGTAGGACTGTGTGTGTGTGTAGGACCATGTGTGTGTGTAGGACCATGTGTGTAGGACTGTGTGCGTAACGTGTGTGTGTGTGTGTAGGACGGTGTGTGTGTGTGTAGGACCATGTGTGTAATGTGTTTGTAGCGTGTGTGTAGGACCATGTGTGTAACGTATGTGTGTGTGTGTGTGTGTGTGTGTGTGTGTAGGACCCTGTGTGTAACGTATGTGTGTGTGTGTAATGTATGTGTGTGTAGGACCCTGTGTGTACAGGTGTGTAGGACCATGTGTGTAGGATCCTGTATGTAACGTGTGTGTAGGACCATGTGTGTAGGACCATGTGTGTAGGACCATGTGTGTAACGTGTGTGTAGGACCATGTGTGTAGGACCCTGTGTGTAACGTGTGTGCAGGACCCTGTGTGCAGGACCATGTGTGCAGGACCATGTGTGTAGGACCCTGTGTGCAGGACCCTGTGTGTAGGACCATGTGTGTAACGTGTGTGTAGGACCATGTGTGTAACGTGTGTGTAGGACCATGTGTGTAATGTGTGTATAGGACCATGTGTGTAGGACCATGTGTGTAGGACCATGTGTGTAATGTGTGTGTAGGACCATGTGTGTAAGACCATGTGTGTAGGACCATGTGTGTAGGACCATGTGTGTAATGTGTGTGTAGGACCATGTGTGTAATGTGTGTATAGGACCATGTGTGTAGGACCATGTGTGTAATGTGTGTATAGGACCATGTGTGTAGGACCATGTGTGTAGGACCATGTGTGTAATGTGTGTGTAGGACCATGTGTGTAGGACCATGTGTGTAATGTGTGTATAGGACCATGTGTGTAGGACCCTGTGTGTAGGACCCTGTGTGTAGGACCCTGTGTGTAGGACCCTGTGTGTATAGGACCATGTGTGCAGGACCCTGTGTGCAGGATCATGTGTGTAACGTGTGTGTAACGTGTGTGTAGGACCATGTGTGTAGGACCATGTGTGCAGGACCATGTGTGTAGGACCATGTGTGTAACGTGTGTGTAGGACCATGTGTGTAACGTGTGTGTAGGACCATGTGTGTAACGTGTGTGTAGGACCATGTGTGTAACGTGTGTGTAGGACCCTGTGTGTAGACCCTAACCCAGCTGTGTTGGTCTTACCTGGCCTGGGCCTCGTCCAGACTCTCGTCTGTGATGGTCATGATCTGCTGGAGTATGTCACCGATGTCCTGCTGCGGCTGACCTAGGCTGTGATGTTTCCTGATGTTGTCAGGATCCCCCACATCCTCCTCAGACAGTCCACTTAGTCCGATATGACCCAGCATCATGCGGGCCTGGTTCTCCATGTATACTCCCAATGATCCAGAGGAGGGGGGGGGGGAGACTACAGACGGGGCTCTTTGTCCAACTTAGTGAGAGGTTGAAAAGTTTCCCAGAATGAAAGCATACAGCAGGTCTGAGGTCTGAGAACAGAGCAGCTTCCCCCTCTCGTCTTGAGCTGAATAACAAAGGAGACAGAAACACAGCAGCAGCAGCTTTATTATTCACTCAGAGAAAAGTCCGCTCAGCTCGACACAACTGGACTCATTTAGAGGCAGGACCAGGCGCCCTTTCTACAAACACTCCTTTCTGCTATGAAGCTGCTGTTTTAATGGAGCCATGTTCGTCTTTTCTATTCCTCTGAAAAGTCTCACACAAAGAGAAACACACCGACACGGAGGAGAGCTGTCGTGTTACACGGCTGATTAATGTGTTTACGGGGAAACAGCTCGACTCTCCCCTGGAAAATAATGACGGGAATACCGTTAAATTTAAGTAAAATGACCTGGGAGTCCTTTGATGTCGCCGTGTCCGCCGCCTGCTCCCCCTTTCTTCACGAGTCCGGTCCGCCTGCTCGGTCTCTGAAAGTCTGGACCCGACGGGTCCTCTGAAACACGGTGCAGGACGTGATAGTCCCGCTTAACTTCATCGATGTGGTAACGTCCAGGTCTCACAATGCCCGCTTTGGACCATTAGTTGTTGCTTATTGCTGTTTTCTTTGCCCACTCAGCTCTTCGCCTGCTGCCCCGCTCCTCCCAGAAAAACACCGCCGAGGCTCCGCGTCAAGTTACCCCGCAGAAGAGGAGGCCACTTCCGCTTTGGAGAGTCCCGACGACACACAAAGAACCAGGAACACAAACACCGCTTATAACAATTAAAGAACACCACTTATAAAGAATATAAACCTTATTTCTTCTTCTCACAGTCAGTGGACACGCAGAAGAAGAAGACGAAGAAGAAGAAGAAGAGAATTAGGCGGTGTGATGACTTCACTGCATATCTATGTGTCTTTCTGCAGGCGATATCACTTTAAATAATTATAATATTTGTATTTACTCCAAAGAGCTTCATTAATATGGGAAAAGTGCATTTACAAAAAAAATGAAACCCCACAGAGCACACTAACAACATATGAATAAATGTGAGCTGGACCAGATGTCATCATTATAAAGACTTAACATGAAAAAGAGTGATTCCACATTTAGGCTATAGAGAATAAATGAATATAACTTCAGATTAAATAAAATAAAACAATTAAAAACACTTGTGTGCCTTTTTATTTATTTGAAGTCCATGCGCATCTGTTGTTATTGTTCTGAATGCACACACTCTTTGTACTTATATCTGAATTTATTTTTTATAGGGTTAAGGTAGGATTTGCGCTGTGAGAATTTTTTTTTCTCCAGCAGCCCGATGGCAGAAATTGAAAGTAAAGATGACAATGACTTAAAGTCTTCATTTATCACATTTATCTATGAACTATTGTCACAGTTACAGCCCCCCCCCCCCCCGTGTTTAAGCCTTAATATTTAAGGTCTAAGCTAGGCTAGAACACAACATCAAGGTGACTTCTCTGTTGTAGTGCACACTCAGAAGTTTAATGAGCAGTCTGTTATTATCAGACTGACATAGCTCACATTTTACACCAGGAGGTTCAACCTTTACCTCCCAGCAGGAGATTCAGAGTCCTCACATGCAGCCAGGCTGAGCAACCATAACGACTCCTCTGAGCCCAATTAAACTCATCAACTCCAGTCTTTATGTGGTGTGCATGTTGACAAAAGACAGAGCAACATGTTTACAAAAGACAACGCAACATGTTTACAAAAGACAGAGCAACATGTTTACAACATGTTTACAAAAGACAGCTCAACATGTTTACAATAGACAAGGCACCATGTTTACAAAAGACAGCTCAACATGTTTACAAAAGACATCGCAACATGTTTACAAAAGACAGCTCAACATGTTTACAAAAGACAGAGCAACATGTTTACAAAAGACAGCGCAACACATTTACAAAAGACAGCTCAACATGTTTACAAAAGACAGCTCAACATGTTTACAAAAGACAATGCAACATGTTTACAAAAGACAGCGCAACATGTTTACAAAAGACAGCTCAACATGTTTACAAAAGACAGCGCAACACGTTTACAAAAGACAGCTTAACATGTTTACAAAAGACAGCTCAACATGTTTACAAAAGACATCGCAACATGTTTACAAAAGACAGCTCAACATGTTTACAAAAGACATCGCAACATGTTTACAAAAGACAGCTCAACATGTTTACAAAAGACAGAGCAATATGTTTAGAAAAGACAGCTCAACATGTTTACAAAAGACAGTGCAACACATTTACAAAAAACAGCTTAACATGTTTACAAAAGACAGCACAACATGTTTACAAAAGACAACACATCATGTTTACAAAAGACAACGCATCATGTTTACACAAGACAGCACATGTTTACAAAAGAGAGCAATATGTTTACAAAAGACAACACAAAATGTTTACAACATCTTTACAAAAGACAGCTCAACATGTTTACAAAAGACAGTGCAACATGTTTACCAAAGACAGTGCAACATGTTTACAAAAGACAGCGCAACATGTTTACAACACATTTACAAACGACAACTCAATGTTTACAAAAGACAGCTCAACATGTTTAGAAAAGACAGTGCAACATGTTTACAAAAGACAACGCAACATGTTTACAAAAGACAATGCAACATGTTTACAAAAGACAGCTCAACATGTTTACAACATGTTTACAAAAGACAGCTCAACATGTTTACAAAAGACAGTGCAACATGTTTACCAAAGACAGTGCAACATGTTTACAAAAGACAGCGCAACATGTTTACAACACATTTACAAACGACAACTCAATGTTTACAAAAGACAGCTCAACATGTTTAGAAAAGACAGTGCAACATGTTTACAAAAGACAACGCAACATGTTTACAAAAGACAATGCAACATGTTTACAAAAGACAGCTCAACATGTTTACAACATGTTTACAAAAGACAGCTCAACATGTTTACAAAAGACAGTGCAACATGATTACAATAGATAACACAACATGTTTACAAAAGACAATGCAACATGTTTACAAAAGACAACGCAACATGTTTACAAAAGACAGTGCAACATGATTACAATAGATAACACAACATGTTTACAAAAGACAATGCAACATGTTTACAAAAGACAACGCAACATGTTTACAAAAGACAGAGCAACATGTTTACAACATGTTTACAAAAGACAGCTCAACATGTTTACAATAGACAAGGCACCATGTTTACAAAAGACAGCGCAACATGTTTACAAAAGACAGCTCAACATGTTTACAAAAGACAGCACAACATGTTTACAAAAGACAGCTCAACATGTTTACAAAAGACAGCTCAACATGTTTACAAAAGACAGCGCAACATGTTTACAAAAGACAGCACAACATATTTACAAAAGACAGCTCAACATGTTTACAAAAGACAGTGCAACATGTTTACAAAAGACAGCTCAACATGTTTACAAAAGACAGAGCAATATGTTTACAAAAGACAGCTCAACATGTTTACAAAAGACAGCTCAACATGTTTACAAAAGACAGCACAACATGTTTACAAAAGACAACGCAACATTTTTACAAAAGACAGCTCAGTCTGTTTATAAAAGATGTGATGTGAAAATGTTTTCTAATATTCTTGTATTTTTATGATCCTAAACATTGTAAGTAGCAAATGGCTTGGTGTGCAGAGCTGAAGATGTTTTTAAAATGACCACAGAGCAGGTTTTTATAAACATTCAGTGGACTACATTTATTGTGAAAGGTGCAGATTTTCAGTTCCGGTCTCATGCTTTCTCTCTCTGGCTGCTCTGACGCGGCTCTCCATCAGAGTGTGTGTGCGTGTGTGTGTGTGTGTGTGTGTGTGTGTGTGTGTGTGTGTGTGTGTGTGTGTGTGTGTGTGTGTGTGAGAGAGTGTGTGTGGGCTCCGGGGAATGCTGCAGTTTGACTTGAAACCACGAAGAGGCCATCTTTCTTTTCACCATGGAAACAGTGTTGTTGTTGATGATACAAATACCGATACTATTACCAGGCTTAGTGTGTGTGTGTATGTGTGTGTGTGTGTGTGTGTGTGTGTGTGTGTGTGTGTGTGTGTGTGTGTGTGTGTGTGTGTGTGTGTGTGTGTGTGCATTGTAAATTAGCCTTGCATATCAATGATGCTGATATTTCCATTAAGGCTGATAAGAAGATTGAGTTGAAATATCTTGGTGTAATGCTCGACTCATTTGCTTCATATTAGAGACAGCGTTTCACAGGAAGCTGCTCAGACGTTCTTCATGCACGCCATGATACTCTCCCACATGTCAGATTGTGTCACATGTTGGGGGCGAGCTGGAGAAACGGTCACTAGACCTCTGGAGTCTCTGGATACAACAACCTACAAAGTTCTGGAGATAAGATCTGTAATGACATGTGATCATTGTTGCATTTAGGAAGCATCGTCTCCTCGAGTGTCTTTGTATAAAATGTGAAATGGTTTGGTGTCACCTCCGTTACGTCATTGTACTAAGTTATCGCTCAGAAGAGTCCAGAAAACCCTCTAGACTCTCTTCCACAGGAGAGTACTCTGAAGCCTCCAGTCGCTGTGACTGTGTGACGTTCTGCAGACCACATGAAGAACTAAACAAATGACAAGATGTGAAACACTTTAACACTGGCTGGACTGCAGATCAGCCTTGGCTTTAGGTCCTAAATACATATACATATATATAGGTTTCATTGTTTTCACTTTGATTAGATGTAACAATGTCTGCATATATTGTGTCTCTGATTAATGAAAAATAACAGGATCAGGTATTCTTGTCATTATTATAAAGATCTTGCCGTCCTTCAGTATTCTGTTATTACATTGACCTCCTGCTGTGTAATCAAGTATACTTGTATACTGAGATTATTTGTGTGTGTGTGTCTTCATTTGTGTGTCTCTCCTGCAGACAGGAGGCTGACTTCATAGAAAAGATGAATGAATCCCTCAGCATAGTAGAGAGTACTCGAGCGTCTGAACAAGCTCTCTCACTCAGTCTATCGCTCTCACATTTACTACAGCGCTCACACACACTGACACACTGACAGCTGCATGCTCCCCCAACACGCACACACGCAGATGTACAGGCATCCACAGGCATGCACAAACACACGGGCATGTTTCGTCCTCTCTCTTCTGTCTGAGTCTCCGCAGACTGCAGCTGGTTCATTCTCATTAATTAGCCAATCAGCCAGTTAAGATAAATGCTGTGAATAATCCCTGATTCCTGTTTTCACAGAGATGGAACAGTCCGCCAGCTCCAGCCTCCCCCCCTGCAACCCACCCCCATGTGGTCTGCTCTGCATGTTGCCATGCCAACAGGGACCAGAGCACCTCTGGATGCTTCAATCTGGTGTCTTTCTACCAATTTCACACATGCACACACAACATTACAGCTTATTAAGAGCCGTTTCTGTGCCTGTGCTGAGGGTGCGTTCTCTTCAGCTATCAAAAAGACGTTAAACTAATGACTTATTATGTTTAAAGATGGAGTCCCTGTATGTGAGCAGCATTTTATTCAAAAGAAAGATCAAGAGAGACTCTTTTTGGGGGGTTTATCACACATGTTATGCTCATTGAATACTAAGATGATGGAAACACCAAAGAAACAGGAGGCCACATTAAAAGAGAACCTGTTTGACTTCTCCAAATGTTTATCTGAAAACAGCACCATGAGGGAATAGGTTCAATTCTCTATTTAATGTCATCTAAATATAAAACAAATCATGTTTTTAGGAGGGCTGACAAATGATTCAAATAGTTCATCTTGATAAATCACATTTTTAATCACTTGTTTAAATTCCATTATTTCATGTTTGAAGTCTTCCAGTCAGCACAGAGACAGCTCTGGTTAAGGTGTTTAATGACATCCATTTAAACACAGACAGTGGCAGAACCTCAGTCTTAGTTTTACTTGATCTCAGTGCTGCGTTCCACACAGTTGACCACAATATATTACCCGACCGACTGGAAAACTTGGTGGTAGTTTCTGGCACAGCACTAAACTGGTTTGAATCCTACTTAAAGGATAGGGACTTCTTCATGTAGGTAACTTCAAACCTGAGCAAACAAAATTCCTTGTGGAGTTCCCCAAGGTTCCATCCTGGGGCCTCTTCTGTTTAACATCTACATGCTCCCACTAGCTCAGATTATAAAAAACAATAAAATAAATGATCATAACGATGCAGACGACACACAAATATATATATTACAATGTCGCCAAGCAACCATGGTCCCATAAAAGCACTATGTAAATGCATAGAACAAATCAATGAGTGGATGTGCAAAAATTCCCTTCAGTAAAACAAAGACAAAACTGAGGTTGTTGTTTTTGGAGCAAAGGAGGAGCGACTAAGAGTCAGTAATCAGCTTCAGCCAGTAAGACTTAAAACCACAGACCAGGCAAGAAATCTGGGCGTAGTGATGGACTCAGACCTCAATTTTAAAAGCCACATTAAGACAATTAAAAATTCAGCCAACTATCACCTGAAGAACATATCAAGAGTTAGAAGTTTAGGGCCAAAATACATTAGTGACCTCCTGATTAATTATGAACCATCCAGACCGCTCAGGTCGTCTGGGACAGGTCTGCTCTCTGTCCCCAGAGTCAGAACCAAACTTGGAGAAGCATTGTTCATTTTCTATGCTCCCTATATCTGGAACAAACTCCCAGAAATCTGCAGGTCTGCTGAAACTCTCAGCTCTTTTAAATGGAGGTTGAAGACACACCTGTTTACAGCTGCCTTTAATTAAACAATTTTAATAGGATTTTAAACTTAAACTCTGTAACTTTTACGCTTATTATTATTTCAATTTTTGGTATAACTCATTATATTTTAGCTTCTTTTTAATTTTTTAATTTAATTTAAATGTTTTTTTATTTTATTTTAACATAGGCTATTTTTTTTCCTCTGTCATGCTTTTCATGTCTTGTGTGAAGCACTTTGAATTGCCTTGATGTTGAAATTATAAATATACTTGCCTTGCTGTGTGCTTTTATTTTGAAGGTTCGTGCTGTCTTAAACTGAGAGTACTTTACTTGCTGTGTGCTTTTATTTTGAAATAAAGTAAGGCCCTAATTGTAGATGAAGGTTATGGCTGTTTTCGAAACCGCGTACTACATACTACTATCTAAATCAGTATGCAGTATATACTGCATAGTATGCAGTATATACTGCATACTGCGTTCAACAGTAGTATGTAGTATGACTGCCAGTCGTCGGTTATTTTGCAGTATGCTTGGCCCCGGTTAAACTGGTTTCCGGTCCTGGAATGCGGAAGTAAACAACGGCTACAGTGTAGTGAAATAAGCTGACAAGTGCTTCATTTCGATTGTCCTTATTTTACAAAAACATTTACCTGTGACATCGGGTCTATATGACATGAAGTTAAACCCAGAAACAGGAAGTGGTTAGGGATCCCAAACTGAGGTCAAACAGCTCAAAGGAACCAGTAACAAAGGTCAATGTGTGATGTCATAAGATGGATATTACTTTGGACTCATCAGCTGAACTGTCTGAGAGTTTGTTAAAGTGAAATGAGACATTCAAAGATGCATCAGTGTCCATCTTTTACATCACTGAGACTACAGGGAGACACTGAGGACCACTATCTACGGAGAGCCTGAGGGGACAAAATAACTTGAAATGAGATAAATAATGCATTAATTTCACACCTTTTATTCACGATTAAATAGTTAATACTGACAGCCCTCCTTTGAGTCCTTAGTTCTCTGTCTGTGCTTTCTCGACTGGATGATAAAGGTCACAAAGGAAAATGTATACGCCTACAAATGATGTGGCTTAAAGCTGTGTTCAATTAACATGTCACAGAATAAGCTGTGAAAGGCCTTAGATTCACATTGAATCTGTAAGATTATATATATATATATATATATATATATATATGTTTTATTTTAGTAGGCCTAAATGTGTTTTTGTCGAGGCCTTCTCCATAATGTGTGTGTGTGGTTTTCATTGGCAGTCTTGCCTCGTGTCTCCTCCTTGCCCTTTAAAAACCCTGCTCCTCCTTTATCTGTGTTCTCCTCCTGCTCTCTCCTTTAACTCCCCTTCTTCTCCCCCACCTCCCTCCCTCCCCGACCTCCTCCATTTTCCATTATCCCCCTCGTCCTCACCCTCAGCCGGCCATGCTCCCCCTCATTTTCATGTAAATGAGCATCGATCCCTCTCTGTCAGCACCAAAGATCCTCTCTCACACACACACACACAGAGGTCTCACGCTCACACACAGAAAACAAACACAATACGACCAGGGCCGTTTCAACCTCTCTGTGGAAGCTGTGTGTTTTTAAACGAGCTTAAATAGACTATATGATTGTTTAATGTTTTATTTGAGTCAAAAAACAATGAAAAAAAACTCGAGGCCAATTCAGAATATCAAATAAAACTGTTAATATCGACGATTTCCAGCGAAATGTTCAGTTTAACGGAAGCTGTAGGAGTATAAAAAAACAGCTGTATTTGCCGCCATCTTGCGTTCAAGCTCGCGCTAGCATTTAGTTCTGACGAATCACCGCGGGGGTTCATGGGAGTTGTAGTTAGAATTGATTTTGTACTTCCTGCTTTGAGAAGGAAGAGTAAGAAAATTCGGCTTTGGACCAAAAAGTTGTTCGTCTGCCAAAAAGTGTCACCACGACGAGAAAGAAGTGAACACACAGCCAGAGTAAGTGTGTATTTATGTTCTCTCATTATCACAGCCACGAAACAGAAGAACTACAGAGGATTTTTGACAAGAATCGGCAAAGTTTTGTCAATGAAACAGTCGCTGCTGGTTAAGGTGAGCTCGGCTTGTCACTAAATGGAAAATAGTCTCAACAAGGCTTTTTCAACTTTTACTAAACTCGAATTTTATTAAAAGAGTTTTCTTCTGTCACACATGAGTTAGTTAAGATGAACAACGGGGGTGGTAACGTGTTTTTATTGAAGCAATAAAACTGTCAAAGGCAGTGATATACCTGTACCTGTGTGTGTTCCTGTGTGTGTTCCTGTGTGTGTACCTGTGTGTGTTCCTGTGTGTGTACCTGTGTGTGTTCCTGTGTGTGTACCTGTGTGTGTTCCTGTGTGTGTACCTGTGTGTGTTCCTGTGTGTGTACCTGTGTGTGTACCTGTGTGTGTACCTGAGTGTTACGTAAGTAAGTGAACATCTACGTCTCTTATATAAGACCTTCACGACGTTTGATGTGATTTTTTTTTTTCAAAACCGGAACTTGAGTTTATTGAAGATGAATCGTTTGTAGTCCTCTCCATCTTTGTGTTTGGAATAACCGTCTCTTAGCTCTGCGTGTCTGTGTAGAGAGCTTCATCTCTTACTGGATGTTTCTTTAATGGTTTTAAAAACACATTTTCTTAAGTTCATGTTTTTTTTAATAAATCCTGTTTGTCCGGCTCATAGGAGGCTGTGGGGTCAGTCTGCGTCATATCCTATATTTAATGTGTTAAAGCTGACATATAGGTATATGTGGTATCTTATTAAATTTGAACTCGATGAAGTGCCTGTCATGGCGGTCGTGCGGATGATTCTGAATGAGTCCTTTCTGTCGTTGAACATTTAGAGTAACGTGACCTTTGGCCTGAATAGGAGCGTTCTCTCTCAGATTGATTTGGATAATCTGGATTCTTAGACTGAATGGGATCCTGTTCCCGTTTGTCTATCTTCACTTTGTTACACAGACGGTTTGTTCTCAGTCCGGCAGGTCCTTAAAAACGCACGCCACACAGATGGCGAGGGTTTCTGCCTCCTGATGGTGGCCAGCTGATTGTTTTACTGACTGCTTCACTGCACAGTTTCTTTAATGTCAGTTTGTATTTCTGGTCTTCAGATGTCTCTGATGGAACGAGGGGGCGTCCGGCCCATCACGGCAGTGGCGTGGACCTCTAACACCGGCACCTGCCCCAAAGACTTCACTCTGGTAGGACGGCAGGTTAACGAAGACGTCTTCAAGTCGTATGAAATCATCTTCACTGTCTGACCTTTCAGAAATCTGACCAATCACTAAGAAACATTTATTTCAAGGTTTCATTCAAGTGAGACAACAAACAAAGAACAGAAAGTCAGGCTCAGGCTGCAACGAGATGGTTTAAAAACCCGTTTAGGATGGTCTCAAACTAAGACCCGGTCAGACCTCCAGATTTAGAACGGTCTCAAGCTAAGACCTGGTCAGACCTCCAGATTTAGAACGGTCTCAAGCTAAGACCTGGTCAGACCTCCAGATTTAGGACGGTCTCAAATTAAGACCCGGTCAAACCTCCAGATTTAGGACGGCCTCAAACTAAGACCCGGTCAAACCTCCAGCTCCAGATTTTTAAACATGTTGTTGGAAAAGTAAAGTAGGAAAGTTTGAGTGTTGTGGCTGACCTATAGAGTTTTTAAAGTGACGTCAACTCTCTGGTGATTTTTCTCCTTGACACAGAAAAAGGAAAACTTGTTTAGCCACTGGATTATTTGCTTCAGGGGTTTTTCTAAATCCCCGCCCAATGCCTACACAGAGGGAGTTTGATTCCCCAAAGAGTTGGAAACTCTCTGTGCAGCATCTTCAGTTTCATGTTAAATTGCATTGATCTTATTAATTCAATCAAATCAATTCTCCCAACACATTTCCACTCTGTTTGCACGCTTGCGTGGAGGGTCTGCCACACGGAGCGCCGTCCAAAACCTCCGAGGGGGGAGTGAGAGTGGAGCGTTAAACCCTCCAGCAGTCTGCATCAGAGCTGCAGCTGTCCACATAGTGAGGATACATTTAGTTCCTAGAACCAGGTTAAGAGGAACCTTTGGGGGCGCTGATGGCGCAGTGGTTAGTGCGCGCGCCTCATGTATAGAGGCTGTGGTCCTCCAAGTGGGCGGCCCAGGTTTGAATCCCACCTGTGGCTCCTTTCACGCATGTCATTCCCCTCTCTCTCTAGATAGTCCTATCTCTCCAATGAAGGCACAAAAAGCCAACAAAATTAACCTTTAAAAAAAGAGAAACCTTTGGAGCTCCTGCTTCAGAGTAGGTACTCTCTCCCGTCACCATGGAGATGCAAATGCAGACAAGTCCCCATGGTGAGTCTGTGGGAACTCCCAGGGAGTGGATAGTTCCTCTTCAAACAGTCTTCAGAACTGTTTGTTCTGAAATCACCTCACGTTGTGACGGAGTCTGATTGCTAAACTTGGTAAATAAAAACTTAGAAGAAATTAGGGCGCTGGTGGCCTAGTGGTTGGTTTGTGCACTCCATGTGCAGAGGCTGTATAGTCCTAGGGAAGAGCCCGGGTTTGAATCCGACCTGTCCGCTTAGAGGACTGTAGCTTCTGTACATGGGGTGCATGAATTCACCACTAGGCCCCTGGCGCCCCTCGTATCACGTTATTAATGACGTAAATCTCATCTCTGCAGATCAGCATCACAGAAGACGGAGCGGCAGCGAACTTTACTCGCAGTTTTGGGATGAAGTCTGGATATTACCTGTGTTACTGCAAGGTAAGAGAATGTCTGTTTCCTGTTCCCTCCTGTCTGTAACTCGCTGCATGGCTCGCTGTAACTCGCTGTAACTCGCTGCATGGCTCTCTCTCTGTGTTTGTAACTCGCTGCATGGCTCTCTCTCTCTCTGTTTGAATCTCGCTGCATGACTCTCTCTCTGTATGTCTGTAACTCGCTGCATGGCTCTCTCTCTCTGTCTGTCTGTAACTCGCTGCATGGCTCTCTCTGTTTGTAACTCGCTGTATGGCTCTCTCTGTTTGTAACTCGCTGTATGGCTCTCTCTCTCTCTCTGTCTGTAACTCGTTGCATGGCTCTCTCGCTCTCTCTCTGTCTGTAACTCGCTGCATGGCTCTCTCTCTGTTTGTAACTCGCTGCATGGCTCTCTCTCTCTCTGTCTGTAACTCGCTGCATGGCTCTCTCTCTGTATGTAACTCGCTGCATGGCTGTAACTCGCTGCTTGGCTGTAACTCGCTGCATTGCTCTCTCTCTGTCTGTAACTCGCTGCATGGCTGTCTCTTTCTGTCTGTAACTCGCTGCTTGGCTGTAACTCGCTGCATTGCTCTCTCTCTGTATGTAACTCGCTGCATGGCTGTAACTCGCTGCTTGGCTGTAACTCGCTGCATTGCTCTCTCTCTGTCTGTAACTCGCTGCATGGCTGTCTCTTTCTGTCTGTAACTCGCTGCATGGCTCTCTCTGTCTGTAACTCACTGCATGGCTCTCTCTCTCTGTCTGTAACTCGCTGCATGGCTCTCTCTGTCTGTAACTCACTGCATGGCTCTCTCTCTCTGTCTGTAACTCGCTGCATGGCTCTCTCTCTGTCTGTAACTCACTGCATGGCTCTCTCTCTCTCTTCAGGACCTGGCAGGTGGGATGGTGGTGTCAGATATTCAGCTCATTTCAGACAAGGACTCCATCCCTCATGGTTACTGCTACATCGCCGAGCACCTCGAGCCCAGTGAGTACATCCAGTTAACCCTTTACCGTCTGTGTACTGGTGACGATGCTTCCTTTACATAATACATCCAGTTAACCCTGAACATAGTCTGAAACATCACAACCCCACGCTATGTGTCCACACTGTGGCCTTTCTTTGGGGCAGAAAACAAGTTTTTCAAAACTTACCTGAATAGCGAAAATGTCCTCCCGTGTTTCCTCCTCTGCTGTCAGATGGTCATTATTTGTTTATGTGTTTGTGTGTCCAGAGGCGTCGGTTACCAAGAAGAAGCGTGTGTGTGTACGTGTGGTCCCCGTGGGCAGCGTGGACACAGCTGTGCTGGACATCAAACTGACGGCCAAAAGCAAAATGATGCTGCAGCACTACACATACGTGGGGTCGGTACCTCAAACATGTTATATCTTCATGTGGTATACCCCACTCCATAAACACACACATGTTTACAGACCCCCTAAACACACACATGATGTTTACAGACCCCCTAAACACACACATGATGTTTACAGACCCCCCTAAACACACACATGATGTTTACAGACCCCCCTAAACACACACATGATGTTTACAGACCTCCCTAAACACAAATGTTTACAGACCCCTTAAACACACACATGATGTTTACAGACCCCCTAAACACACACATGATGTTTACAGACCCCCTTCTTTAAACTTGTCGATAATAATGAAACAGATTTTGAAAGTGTAAATAGAAACACCTTCTCTACAGAGACGTCCATGGCTATGTGCTGTGGTGCAGGAAGGGTTATTTTTCAAGCCCCCTGCCCAAAGCGAAGCCCCGCAGCGTCAGCCTGGACCTCCGCGGACTCTCCCTGGACCAGCCCCCTGCCCCCCTGCCCCTCAGACCCAGGTACAGAACTCATTTGATCTTCCTAACTCTGACTTAAGCAGCATATTTACAGAAGGGACAGAATGAGGGCACAGCGTGGGTCAGTGAAGACGAGTGCCCACTCGGACACCAGCTCGATGTGAAAACAAAACATGACGCCCGCCATAGACCCGAGCCCTATGAGGCCTGACCTCGGGCTAGTACCCGGTAGGGCTTTGTTTTTAAAGACAGAGTTAGGGTCACGCTGGTCCAGCTCTGAGTAAATAACCCTTGAGTGCAGGATGTGATTGAATGCGAGCATCGATGTGTGCTTGTCTCCATAGCAACCCTCCTCCTCCGCTGCCACAGAACAAGATAAGTCAAAGACGTCGCAGCCTCCACACCAAAGACACCCAGGACAAACCTGCAGACAGCAACGTCCAGGGAATCACAGGTACGTCTGCAACACGTTTATCATACATTATGAATCCTTCACTTCACAAGCCGCTGACCTTTGACCTTCTCTGCAGCTCTAGACGGAGTTCCCTTCAGCCTCCATCCAAAGTTTGACGTCCAGACAAACAGCTCTGTATGTTTGATAATGAAGCCTTTACTGAAGTCATGATTGATCTGTTAAAACACTCTCAGCGTAAGCTCTAATGTCAACATGAACTTCTTCTCAGGCTCTTCAGGTGAACTCTCAACTGAATAACATTCGGATCAAGTCTCTGCAAGACATCGAAAACGAGGTAGGGTCCCGTCTGAGTCGACTCCACACCAACCCAGTCCTCATCCAAAGGTTTCCCCTCTCCTCCTCCTCTGGAAGGCTTCTTCAGATCCAAACTAACTGGTGGGCGGAGCTAGCTCTGTGGATCATTATCATGCTCATGATCTAGCTCCGCCCACCAGTTAGTGTAGAACTGATGAAGCCTTCCAGAGGAGGAGAGGCGAGAGGTCCAGGTGCCTTTGGATCAAACCTGCAGTGATTTTTATTGTGAATACACTCATCCGGTTCTCTTTGTGTCGTCAGTATCACTACGCCTTTGTTGTGGAGGAAAACGCTGCCAAGAGGACCAGACCGTCAATAGGAGAAACCCTGTCAGAGCAGTGACCTTTGAACCCTGACAAAGCTTTGTTACTCCACCTCACATCACGGTGATGATGAAGGATGATGCTGCCCACATGTTGGCCTGTAAGATTAGACTTCACATGGATTCAAATGGTGAATCAGAACGCCAATTTAAAGGTCACAGAAAGGCACGTCTGTTTCCACTCAGACAATCAGCATTTAGAATGTGTCTATTTCTCACGTTTTCCTCTCCATTCCTGCTGTTATATCATGAAGTCTTCAAGCATTCCTGCTCTAAAGGAAACATGTGTGATTTAATGATTCTAAATGTTCTGTTTCTGATCTGCATCATCGACCTCTAACGACTCATTAAAGCTGCTGCTCATAAAACAGATTGAAGCCTCAGATAAAGACACCATCACGTTATCATCCATGTCTGTCGCCCCCTACTGTTAGGACATGGTGTTACACGCTAAGATGAACTGCACGTTGCAGAAACATTCTTCTTGAAAAACATATTTAGGCACTACAGAATTTTTGAGTTGCATGCATTATAGGAGCAGTATGTAACTCTGACCTCTAGTGTTTAAAATGGGTACTGCAGTCTAAATTCTAAACATTGTAGAGAGCTGTCTCTCCCCCCCCTTCCTCTCTAGACTCCTACTCACACAGGTTGCCATGTGGTGGACACTGAAGCTTCAGTGTTTAGCCAGCTCTGCATCGGTCTGTAAACCTTTCTGCATTCTGACCTCTCTCCATTTTTCAAAAGCATCTCCAATATTGATCCTAGTTTGAGCACGTTTCTGCTCGTGGAGCTTATATATATATATATATATATATATATATATATATATATATATATATATCCTAAAAATTCCTCACAGGAGCTTAAAAACTAAATGTATCATGTCATGAAGATGATCCTACCACTGAAGATGTTTGAACCCATTGAGTTCTACAAACATTTAACCAGCTGACTTGAGAACAGCTGTTCTTAAATCAGCTGTTCTTAAATCAGCTGTTATTAGAACAGCTGTTTTAGTGACAGCTGAGTCGCGGTGGATGAGCTGAGTCGCAGTGAATGAGCGTTGCTGCAGATGATAAACAGACCTCGTTACACTAACATATCTAAATGTATGATGGAGGTGATTTCCTGTATGAAGAGAAGCCTTCGTTACAGCTTTGTACTTAAACCTATTTATCTTTCTGAGGGGGGGAAGGGGGGTGGGTGTTTCTTCTCATATTTAATCTGACATGTTGGAAACAGGAAAATGTTATTATGTTGTTTTTTAATTGTCAGGCCAAATATTTATCTGCATTATTGTACACTTTATAAAGTTTCTTGTTTTTATACCAAACTTTTAATGCATGGAGAAATAAAAACGTACGAAACACAGGTGTTTAGTCTAAGTCCTACTTTAAACTAACATCAACATCGAGACTCTGCCCATCACTTCCACACCTTTCTGCCTGCAGAGAGAGAACAGATCCTCACAACAGCCTACGCCCCACAGGGGGATACTAACGTTAGCAACCCACAGGGGGAGGCGAACTTATTATTATTTGTTGAGTCACGTTTCTGCAGGAGGCGACAGAGATCATCCACAAAACCTCAAAGTAAATCTAATATTACTTTTTTTACTTCCTTATTCTTCAAAATAATAATAAATATTTGGTTTAAAACGTGATTCTGGATCAGATCTCTATCTTATCTCCATTTGGTGAAGGTAAGTTTGATTTTAAAGGCATGTTATTATATTACTATGATAGATCTCAGCAGGAGAACAACTTCAGCTCTTCATGTTTATAATGTCACATTAAACTTGTTGAATCACAGCTGGAAGCTTCTGATTACATACATCCTGGATCCTAAGCAACATTTTCCTCTAAACCTTCTTTACAAAAAACTCAACCTTGGTGCAGCTGCAGTGACCTTGCGTTATCTTTCTCGTCATTAGAAAACAAATAGAACACTTCAGCGGCGGAGCAAACTGGAGATTTCGCAGCAGGGTGTCATTTTAAAGCCTGGTCCAGTGTTTCAACATCAGACCAGGAAACGTGCAGTGCAGACATTCAGATCAGAGAGCTGGACTACGAAGTGAGACTAATGGGTAAATTAGTGTTCAGAGTTTTTAGGATGTATGCAATCATTATTATTATTTCACTAATAAGAAGAAACTCTGAAGTCCCACAAAGTAAACTATAATGGTCTTGGTCCCTTTGGAGGACTTCAGGGAGTCCGAGGAACCAGATCTCTGTGAATCCTTAAACCGGCTGGTTTGGATATTATCGCGGTTTTTGCATGATGATTTATGATGACGTTTTTTAGACATTGTGGTCCCTTAAATGATTATTCAGGAATACTGTGAGTCCTACAGATGGTTTTAGACACTTTAGGGGCTTCAACTCCTCTGAAGTTAATCTTGGCACCTTTATAACAAGGACATGAACCACACCGACATCTTGAAATATGACTCTTTAAATATCTTACTTTCAAATTTTAGCGTTTGCGTCAAAGAATGTAAATGATTAACTGATGAATTGAATGTTATTGTCAGGCTATCATTAACATCATACAAACACTGATCAGTCATGTGGTTGTTCATGATTGATGAAAACATCCTTCGCTATACTTTCGTACATTCAGCCTACTGATCAGGAACTCTTCATGTCCTCTAGGAGAGCTGTCTGACCCTAAAGTCTCTCCTCTTTAACATACTCTCAGGTCTTCTTCCATTTAACTCACTGCACCCCCCGACCCGCTCGTCTGACCTCCATGGAGAGCCTTCGCCCGCGCTGCCTTCGCCCGCGCTTGGTTACTCGTTTGGTCGATACTCGTTTGGTCTTTACTTGTTTGGTCGTTCCTCGCTGTTTGGTCGTTACTTGTTGGTCTTTACTTGTTTGGTCATTACTCGTTTGGTCGTTACTCGCTGTTTGGTCGTAACTTGTTCGGTCGTTACTCGCTGTTTGGTCGTTACTTTTTCGGTTGTTACTTGTTCGGTCGTTACTTGTTCGGTCGTTACTTGTTTTTCAGTCGTTACTTGTTTTTCAGTCATTACTTGTTCAGTTGTTTCTTGTTGGGACGTTACTTGTTGGGTCGTTTCTTGTTATGTTGTTACTCGTTTTGTCGTTACTTATTTGGTCATTACTCGTTTGGTCGTTACTCGTTTGGTCATTACTTGTTTGGTTGTTACTTGTTTGGTCGTTACTAATTTGGTCGTTACTCGCTGTTTGGTCGTTACTTGTTTGGTCGTTACTTGTTTGGTCGTTACTTGTTTGGTCGTTACTAATTTGGTCGTTACTCGCTGTTTGGTCGTTACTTGTTTGGTCATTACTTTTTCGGTCGTTACTTGTTTTTCAGTCATTACTTGTTCAGTTGTTTCTTGTTGGGTCGTTACTTGTTATGTCGTTACTCGTTTGGTCGTTACTCGTTTGGTTACTTGTTTGGTCGTTACTTGTTTGGTCGTTACTCGTTTGGTCGTTAATTGTTTGGTCGTTACTTGTTTGGTTGTTACTTGTTCGGTCGTTACTTGTTCGGTCGTTACTTGTTTTTCAGTCGTTACTTGTTTTTCAGTCATTACTTGTTCAGTTGTTTCTTGTTGGGACGTTACTTGTTGGGTCGTTTCTTGTTATGTTGTTACTCGTTTTGTCGTTACTTATTTGGTCATTACTCGTTTGGTCGTTACTCGTTTGGTCGTTACTCGTTTGGTCATTACTTGTTTGGTTGTTACTTGTTTGGTCGTTACTAATTTGGTCATTACTCGCTGTTTGGTCGTTACTTGTTTGGTCGTTACTTGTTTGGTCGTTACTCGTTTGGTCGTTACTCGTTTGGTTACTTGTTTGGTCGTTACTCGTTTGGTCGTTACATGTTTGGTCGTTACTTGTTTGGTCGTTACTCGTTTGGTCGTTGCTCGCTGTTTGGTCATTACTTGTTTGGTCGTTACTTGTTTGGTCATTACTCGTTTGGTCGTTACTCGTTTGGTCGTTACTCGCTGTTTGGTTTTTGCTTGTTTAGTTGTTACTTGTTTGGTTGTTACTTGTTTGGTCGCTACTCGTTTGGTTACTCGTTTGGTCGTTACTTGTTTTGTCGTTGCTTGTTTGGTCATTACTCGTTTGGTCATTACTTGCTGTTTTGTCATTACTTGTTGGTCTTTACTTGTTTGGTCATAACTAATTTGGTCGTTACTTGTTTCGTCGTTACTCGTTTGGTCATTACTCGCTGTTTGGTTGTAACTTGTTTGGTCGTTACTCACTGTTTGGCCGTTACTTTTTCGGTTACTTGTTCAGTTGTTTCTTGTTGGGTCGTTTCTTGTTGGGTCATTACTCGTTTTGTCGTTACTTGTTTGGTCGATACTCGTTTGGTCGTTACTCCTTTGGTTACTTGTTTGGTTGTTACTTGTTTGGTCGTTACTTGTTTGGTCGTTACTCGTTTGGTTGTTACTTGTTTGGTCATTACTCATTTGGTCGTTACTTGTTTGGTCGTTACTTGTTCTCGTTCGGTCGTTACTAGTTTGGTCGTTTCTTGTTCAGTTGTTACTCATTTGGTCGTTACTCGCTGTTTGGTCATATTTACATGTCTATGTTAATTAAGGTGCACCGTGACTATTTTAATTAATACATTAATAAATTGGTGTTTTTATTCAATAATAATAATACTTATATTATGCCAAAAATTGTCTACGTAAACGACAAAGTGTGTGCGTGCATGTGAGTGTGTGCATGTGAGTGTGTGCGTGTGTAGACCTGATCTGCAGCCTCACACAGCAGGTCTGTTTGTTCTGCTCTCCGGAAACGGAGCTCTGATTCCAACCAGCTGTTTCCCGCCTCACACAGATCAGCTGCGCACACACACACACATAGTAGGCGGGAGCTGCAGACATACACACACACACACGTAGTAGGCGGAGGCAAGAAGCCACACACACACATTGGAGGGAACCCCATCAGCTGTGGGAAGCAACACAGCTTGAAGTTACTTTTATTTTTCTCTCGTTTCTTAATATTTCCTGAAGCTGTTTCTGTAAATGTGCATTATAAGGGACTGATTAACTGAGCTGCGTGTGTGTGAGAGACCAACATCGTTATATTGTAAGTAGAGCAGAGGAAGGTGGAGGAGGAGGAACAGACTGAAAACACGGACTACATAAGGAAAGCATGGAATACTTCATGATGCCGACAGAGAAGATCCCGTCCTTACATCAGTTCAAGAAGACGGAGAAGGATGTGATCGGCGGGCTCTGCAGGTGTGTTTAAAGCCATTTCTTTTGTTGACAACAAACTGGTTGCTCTGTCGCCCCTCGTGTGGCTGCAGTGTGTGTATGTGTGTGTGATGCAGGCTGGCTTCAGTTAGCATGCTAGCGGCTGCTTCGCTGCGATGTGTTGCCAACAGACGCGTGGTTGTAGAAATTAGCAGCTGCTGATGTAGGAGGAGTGAAAGCTGGGAATAAATCACCTTTTCTTACGACACCTGCAACCCGATTTACATGTTAGGACACACTTGGCGTGTTTACGGTCAAGCAGATCAGACATATGTAAATTAGCGACATGAAATCGATCCAGTTGAACATCAACCACGTGGTAGTGAACGTGCTGCCAGCCGCCAAACCTCGGGTTAAAATCGACACATTTTATTAACAGGCCTCACTGTGATCACAAGGAGGCGTTTATTATGGTTGTATGTGGATGCTTTCAAACCCCGGGGCGTTAATGGAGGTGACGGCTTTGATATGTGCGCAGTTAAAGAGCAGCCATGACTGTGTCGCGTGCTCAAATTAGCTTAGCATGGCTAACTACTGAGCACCCACCGCGCGCTCGTTTTCTCTGCGCGTACCTGTCTTTTTTTGACTCATTTATTCATAACTTTAGACTCATTTAACGGAAACACGTCGTCTGAAGGTGTAACGGGGGACACAGGTCCGCCTCCGTGAGCTGCAGAGCCGTGATTTACGCTAGCTCAGTGCTAACTGGAGGACGCATTGTTCTCCATGATGCCAGAGGGGGCCTGCTGCTGGAAGAGGAGGTGTCAGATTACACTGCTGACGTCACACCGCCTCACGCGCCCTCCCGCGGCCATGTTGGAGGTCTGCAGGTGATTACACCTGAGCTTCAGGTGAAAAACACTAATGTCGCCTGTGTGGGAATCATGAGGTGGTTTTTATTTCCCGTCACTGGTCTCAAATCTTCTATTAAAGGAATGCTACATGTACTTTTTTTTATTTTATTTTTGATTTAACCTTTATTTATCCAGGAAAGTCCCATTGAGATTAAAAACCTCTTTTTCAAGGGAGTCCTGGCCAAGAGGCAGCAAAAGTTACACAGTCACACTCACAACACACAGACAGCAATTAAATACTATATTTATGTTTGTAATGACAGAAAAATTAGAGAGGAGTTTCAAAGTGATGACTACAGATGGGGACAAACATGAGAAATAAATAGTGAAAGGAGGTAGATGTTGTTTATTATGGACTTGGAGTAAAAAAGTTGTAACGTCGATAATAAAGTGTTGGTGAAGGACACAGAGCCTGATGTAACCATCACTCAGAGCAGCATGCATCGTTCTGTCACACCTGCAGAAAACTCCTGAAGTGTTCGTGCTGAGCGTCATGTGGGAACACAAACAGCTGAATGTTTCTCTCTTCACCCGGAGTTTCTCCTCCAGCTTCCATGCACTGTTTTTAATGTAGCTCTTACCAATCAGAGTACGACTGCTCGCCAACACACATGGGGGTTGAAGAAAAGATGAAGTCATGTGAGCTGGAGTTTGTCCGCCACGAGACCGCCCTCCTCTTTGTAAACGCCTCAGAAGTCAATCTCTAGGCTTGTTTTACGCTCAGCCTCATGGTCATCTCAAGGCTTCAGGGTTCACCTGCTCTTCTCCCCTTGAGTAAATATGACGTCGGAGGTTTCACAACCACAACATCCAAACCTTACAGGGACTCTGGAAGATGTGTGAGGGGGCGCTGAGTTCAGCCCAACCCAAAGACCTTCAGACGGCGTGACAGAGGAATGTAAAGAGCTCGCCACTCATAAAGATCCTGCAGGTTTATGGAGCTGTGTGTGTGTCTGTGTGTGTATCAGTATAATAATAGTCCTTCTTCTTTCTCAGTCTGGCTAACATCCCCCTCAGTCCGGAGACGGCTCAGGACCAGGAGAGGAGAATCCGCCGTGAGATTGCCAACAGCAACGAGCGCCGGCGCATGCAGAGCATCAACGCGGGCTTCCAGTCCCTGAAAACACTCCTGCCCCACACAGACGGAGAGAAGCTCAGCAAGGTGCCCAACGAGCCTCAAACGCTCGCCATGTTCTTTTCCTCAGCAGCACTAAAACGTGACGTTAACTTCTTATTGGTCTCCACAGGCCGCCATCCTGCAGCAGACGTCAGACTACATCTTCGCCTTGGAGCAGGAGAAGACGCAGCTCCTGGCTCAGAACAACCAGCTCAAACGCTTCATCCAGGTAACTCCAAACACGCCATGTTCACCACGTCCCAGCTGAACGATGACACGTCACGTTAGTCCTCGGGGGCGCCATGATGTCAGAGGGTTAAATTTCTGACCAGTAAAAATCAAACGATATCTGACCCTACACAACCTAATGTCTCTGAGCTCGCACTCAAACTCCACGATAAAAACAAAACGCTCCGTTATCAGTTAGCGACACGTTTTGTAATGACTGTTTTAAGTCGTTGTCTTTAGGAACAGCCTGGTTTACCTGGATGTGCCTGACGAGAATCGATTATACGTCCTGAAGTGTACCGTCCCACAGCTTCAGAGTGCTCACACGGGTCAAAGGAACTTTGAGGCTCAAAACGTGCTCGGCCACGTTACGGATAGAGAGCATGAGAGGCTGTCTGAATGTTTCTGAACACAAACGTGTCCAAAGTATCTGTCAGACAGCGAGCACGACTTTACTTTTCTTTTTGATAGTTAAAGGCTCTATGTGATTTTTCACACTTAAATGTAATATAAATCAAGTATATCCTCTGAAAATAACTCTGAGTCATGACTGTCTACAATGAGTGTAACACCCGAGTCCCACTGTCTGTGATGTTTTCCGAGTCCTATCTTCAGTTTGTTTACATCACCGGGATGGCCGGCTGACTCCTCCCCTTGCATATAAAAGTTGTTTAATTGAGGGACTAGAGAAAAGAAGAATAACATACTGTACTTACTGCTTAACTATGTTTCTAGATCACGGTCATTTCGTGTAAATTTACATGCAGTGTGAAGATACGAGCGTTATAAAGATCGCTAGCATTAGCATGCTAACACAACAATCCACCGCAAGTTGTTTTGGTTTCATGCTGTGCTCAAGGGCGACATCTGCTGGATCAAAACGCATATAAAGCCTTTAAAGAAAAGACAGGAGAGCAAAGTGTGCAGGTACACTCCCACACACTGTCTCACCTTTAAGATGGTTCAAAACCACAAAGCTGAAACCCTATGTGACCTTTAGAGACTGGGACGCCATTATCACGATTCTGACGTGTTGTTCCAACCTGAGCAGGTGTTCATGTGCATTTTACAACTCAGAGTCTCTTTTTCCCTATGTTTCCGACAGCACCTGAATGCAGCATTAAACAGACTCACGTCTGTTTGAGTAGAGATCAGTCACCACAGTTTGGTTCAGTTGTGTTTGCGGAGATGTTAGTAAGCGGTCTGTGTTCTCAGGATTACACAGGCCCGTCGCTCCTTTGACCCGTAACATGGTTATCACATGACCTCCGTGTCGTTGCAGGAGTTTAGCGGCTCCTCCCCAAAGAGGAGGCGAGCGGAAGACAAGGACGAAGGCATCGGGTCTCCAGACACGCTGGAGGAGGAGAAGGTGGAGGAGCTGAGGAGGGAGATGTTGGAGCTGAGGCAGCAGCTGGATAAGGAGCGCTCGGCACGTATGCAGCTGGAGGAACAGGTGAGGCTGGAGGAGGGGCTTATGGAGGAACAGGTGAGGCGGGAGGAGCATCTCCACATCAAGAGGTCAAGGTTCAGCTTAACCAACCGTTTGACTTGTTATCATTATGTGGGAGGTGTAAACAATAATCTGTCACCGCGCTGACAGATTTATCTTGTGTCATCCTGGATCTACCTGATCAGCAGGTTCAGATGAACACGATGTGAAACAGGAAGTGAACAAGGACAATAAATTAAGAGCACGGGCGATGAAGAGGGGAGATAAAGTCTACTGGTGCGCACAGTTTTTATCAAAAATAAAAACCTTGTAATTCTGCAGTCATACAGAAAGCAGTCTGTAACTCTGACCCCTACTGTTTAAAATGATTACTGCAGTCTAAATTCTAAACATTGTAGAGAGCTGTCTCTCTCCCCCCCCCCTCCTTTCTAGAGTCGATGCTCATGCAGGTTGCCATGTGGTGGACACTGAAGCTTCAGTGTTTAGCCAGCTCTGCATCGGTCTGTAAACCTTTTTGCGTTCTAACCTCTCTCCATTTTTCAAAAGCATCTCCAATATTGATCCTAGTTTGAGCACGTTTCTGCTCGTGGAGCTTATTAGAAACATGCAGAGGCTTTTTAGGTCGAGTACAATCACTTCTATCTGAACTAGTTCTCTTGCTGCTTCCATCACTGCAACACCTGTTGGTTTGACCTGATAACTGCTCTCATATCTGGCAAACCGAGGGGCGTCCAAAACGACCGTGTGGGGGGGGCCTTAAAAGCGCCTACCTTCGCTGGTCCAAACAAATCCAGAGCATTCAGGACCAGAATCTAAAGTTAGAAGGAGGACATACTGGCTGCTGCATTGTTGTAAATATCATGTATTCCTGGTTATTGATCTGAGCTGTGTGTTCTGTGTCTCTCAGGTTCGTTCTCTGGACACCCAGCTGCACCCCGAGCGTCTGAAGGTGATCACCCAGCAGGTGGAGGAGGAGCAGGCTCTCCTGCAGAGCCAGACGCTGTTACGGCTGCAGCAGATCCACGCCGCTGACAGACAACCACACAGTCCGAAGGTCAAAACAACACACACACACACACACACACACACACACACACACACACATCAGTAGGCCTCTGTGTTCGTTTTTGGGTTCTGAAGGTCATTTAAACCTGGTCTGGGTTTCTGTTTACATTTGAAAAGTTGAGCTGAATTCTGAGTTTACACTTTGCAGCAGCAGAGGGAACACGTGATGTAAAGACAACGACAACAGAGTCGTCTATGACGTTATAATGAATATTTGTCTTTGTATTAGTAGAGACCGTATTGATCGTGGTTATTGACTTTACTGCACCGTGGTTAGATCTTAAAGATGTGACTGAACTGAAGTCATAACGTTACATTTCAAGACCCATGTGACTCAGGTTCTGGATTATGTGGACCCAGGTCGTTATGGAACCAGGTTTTAGGATTGAAGCCGTCTGAGATGAAATGGTTCTAAAATCACACCTTCTGTATCTTTTCTCCAGGTGTTGGCCCCACCCACTCCTCCTGCACCAACCCACCACCCCACAGTGATCGTCCCAGCCCCTACACAGCACCCCCACCATCACGTCACCGTGGTAACCATGAGCCCGTCTGCCCACACCAGCACTGTGTCCACGTCCAGACAGAACCTGGACACCATCGTGCAGGTAGGAGCCTCTTTGAGCACGCCGTCTTGGCCGTCGTCTGCTGCAGCCGCCTGACGTGTTTTTAATGTCGCTTTTAGGCCATCCAGCACATCGAGCGCACTCAGGAGAGGAGAGCGAGCGCCGAGGATGAGCAGAGGCGAGCGGTCATCGTCAGCCCCGCCCACGTGGCCATGGACACGGCCTGCTCGGACACAGACACCGACACAGAGGGGGAGGACTGCTCGATGAACTGATCGGCCCCCAAGAGCGCACACACTCACACACGCAAACACTTAAAAAACTCCAGACCCCTCCTCACTGTAAGATTCCCTCCAGGAGCTCGACTACTTACCACAAACACAAATCTTCTTCGGCATTATCCAAACTCTCCCATCCAGCGGTGAAGCTCTGCGTCCGCCTCGTATGGTCAGATCTCTGAGGACTCGGGGGCGAGGGTGATCAGCGTGCCAGCGAGACCCCGTGGGGTCCGAGCCGGTCTGTGGCGAGCAGAAACCTTGAGGGACTCCTCGAGTCAGAAGCTCTCCACATCAGTCCGTCCAACACGTGTTTTTCATGTTTGCTTCATACGGCCGCAGTGTGACGCCGGCACGCTGACCCCGACACGCTGACATTTTCTCCGTGCTACACGTTGACGGAGAGTTGAATGTAGAAACACGATAATCAAGCAGCTCTTCTTCGACGGGATGTGACCGTCACTTGTTCCTTGCCCAGTCTTAATTAGTTTATATCTGCATCCTGATTGGTTCGCTGATATTTTGGCGCCAGCGGCTACAAAAACTCCCCAGACTGGAAACTCCAACAGAAGGCATTTGTAAATTGTTGGGAAACTTCAAAGCTAATTGGAAGATGTTTGAATGAGACGTCTGATTTACTTGAAAAGTTGTTTTCATATCTAAGCCCTTAAAGAAAATAAGCTGTTGAACAATTTTAATTAATCGTTATTTTTCATGTTTTTATTTTTACATTTGATTTCCTGTCAGGGTTACTGAATGTTGAAGGTGAACTTTGTTTTTGTTATTTTGAGATTAACGATTTAAATTGGACATTTGTCAGGTGTTCACGGGAGCCAGAAGCCCAGAGAGACATTTCAGCCAATCAGAAACATCCTCCTGCGTTTGTTTGGTACCAGTAACATCGGTTCATTGTGAGAACAACAACATTTAAATGTCTGGTGTAAATTTTATCTTTTCTAATCAGATTAGTCACGATTAATTAAGGTCTGGCATGAATTGTTCTTAATCACGATTAATCTAATGTTTGTCCCTCACGGCTCCCCGTAGTCACGTTGACGGAAAAGGACACTGCTGCTTTTCTACTACTTAATTTCAAAATAAAAGCACTGTTGAATTCAAACAGCAAGTAAAGTACTCTCAGATTAAGACAGTACAAACCTTCAAAATAAAAGCCTAAATATGAAATAATGGATTTCAAACATTCGATTAACTGTAGAAACTTTACGATTAATCGTGATGTTAAATGTTTGGACAGTCTGAGTTTGAGTCCTTAAATCTGAATGAGGATAACATCTTAAGTCCGGTTCTCCTGCGGTCCGCCGTCTCGCTCTGTTCGTTTTGATTTCAGTCACTATGCACTCGAGTTTGTTGGTTTTTATGCAAATTAATCTTCAGTCCGTTGAGTCTGTTTGATTTTTCCCCGAGGTGAGGTTATCTATGCACCGCTGAAAGGTGTAAACATTACGCCTACACTTTATGTGATACAGAGAATATCGTCTCTGCTAACCTAAACATCTTCCACCGTACACCTGAGGGGTTTACCACCACAGAGGGGCGCTGGCAATGGAGACTGAAGCTGCAGAATACATTTCTTTCTTTCTGACTGACATCTGAAGGCCCAAAGAACAGACGTCACGAATCCCTCTGTCCCACCTGTCTGAGGCACTTGCTGGCATAGCCGCTGTGAATAACTCTGAATCAACCTGAAGTCAGAGTGTAGCTCTCTCTCTCAACCTGGCTCGATCACCATGGTGACCAACTCTTAACCAGGTCAGGCCCGGGTTATAGTTAGAGCAGAGGAAGCAGGAAGTGACTCCTGGCGGCGCCCTCTGTGTCTCATACGATAGTAATGACCTTCATAAAACTAAGGAGTGGCGTCTCAAAGATCTGAAACTCCACTTAGATGGAAATGTGGCAAATGTAACTGCGGCTCGCCGTACGCCTTCCCTCCATCAAATCAGAGTGAAGAAGGAAACTCTAAGAAGCACTGACTTGTCTCGGTCGCTCTCATCCTCGTGTCGTGTTTTTTTTTGTTGTTTTTTTTTATCTGGGGAATGCGACTGGAAATCAAGCTGGGACGTCGCTCCGCCTCGCTGTGATTGGCTGACGTGATGCTGTAAACATTCCTTGTCTTTTTTTTTAATGTTCTGTGGCCAATCGAATGCGTGTTACTAACCGCTCGTCCAAATGGCGCTTGTCTTGTTAAACATGGAGTTTGTTTTTCATTTCCACCCCAACTTCCTGTAACCTCCTGTGACATCACAGATCAGTGATGAGGGGCGTGTTCATGTTTATAAGTCAACTCTGTTAAAGGTTTGTGACTCACTGAGGTCAAAGGTCAACGCCTGATTCATGGCTGAGGTTGGTCATCGATCAGTGAAACACGCCCCTTTCATGTTTCGTGGTCATGTCTGACGGCGTTACGGTGCTTCTGTCTGTCGGCGGGGGTTTTGAGGTATCTGAAATGAAGCACTTGTTCTGAATCAACGGTGAGGAACTTCTGTTTATGTTTTTAACAGCTGTTTATTTTCTTCTCTCTCTTCCACATCTGTCTTCGTTTTCCTGTTTTCAGTGACGAGCATTGTTTTTATATTTCTGTGATGATGATTTTGTTTATTGTTTATATTTCTGTGATGTTGTTTTTATTTGCCATCAGTCCAGGTCGATGAGAAGCTGTTATATTTTGTTTATAAAAACGTGGGTAAACAGGCCTTTGTAAAGATAACAAAAATAAATTTGTACTTTTTTTATTACACCCCTTCGCCTCCTGCTGTGCTTCACATCTGCTCGCTGTGAGTCCGTTCTTCCACCAGGTGGCGACAGAGAGCAGCAGTAAGCTTGGAGCTGATTGCTTCTGATGAACTCTCAGACCTTTACTTGCATCCTCTATGTTATTTACTACATCACTAATAATCATAACGACCTCCGACTGAAAGTTTGATAGGAAACAAGATTTTATTTACATTTTTAAAACACTCAGATTTCTCTTCTTGCTCCTTGTCCTAGTATGCATGAGTGTGAATGAGACTCCTGGGTAGACTACTTTGAAAACGGACCACCTTTGGAGTGGGAATAGGATTCCTGACTGGGTGGGTAGGAATGGGGTTAACTGGGATGGGTGGGGGCGGGGTTTATTAGGATAGGCAGGAGATGCCAGGAATGGGGTTTACAGAAGATGACCACAGTACAAGCTCAACTCTAAATAAGCCAACTCTATGTGTTCTTATCCTCTGTGCAAACCAATGACGAGCTTTTGGAAAAAGAAAACACTCAGATTAATAATCAGGATGAGAAAATTCCTTTGACCAAACATGATTAGTCTCTCTCTCTGCTCCTCTTCCATAAATCAGCCAATCATTATTTGTATAGCGCCAATTCATGTTCAAGTGTTACCTTGAGACGCTTTACAAAAGAGTACATGGGATAATATGCAGGAAGGATTTCTCCTTTGTATTCCTCTCGTTCCTGTTGTCCACACTTCCTCTCCGCTGAGGTGGAGGTTGGAGCGGGTCCATATCAGCAGGACTTCCTCACCAATGATCCGAGGAACCTACAAGATCTGAGAGCTCAGGAGCTCCCAAGAAAAGAGTTAGTAACTAAGATTTACAGATAGCGACATGCAGTAATAGCAGCATAACCAGGAGCTGGTCTACACCTGTGCCAGTCCTAACTATAAACTTTATCAAAAAGGAATGTTTTAAATGTATTCTTAAAAATACAGTGTGTCTGCCTCCTGGACCCCGGCAGGTAGATGGTTCCACAGGAGAAGGGCCTGATAACTGAAGACTCTACCTTCCATAGTACATTTAGAGACTGTAGGTACCATGAGCAGGCCTGATAACTGAAGGCTCTGCCTCCCATAGTACATTTAAAGACCGTAGGTACCACGAACAGGCCTGATACCTGCAGGCTCTACCTCATATAGTACATTTAGAGACTATAGGTATCATGCGCTACACATTCAAAAGCAAATGCAAACTCCCGGTAACAAATGTAACGGCAGAAACACGCTGCAATGACACAAACGTGCTGCTCCTCTCTCCTCCTTTCTTCTCCTCTCTGCTTTTCTCTTCTGCTCTTTGCTCCTCTCTGCATTCCTTATTGGTCCAGGCAGCTGTTCGGACACAAAATGGCTGACATGGGTGCAGTTGCTGAGTTCCCCCCTCCTCTGGCGTGCCCTTTGACCTTCAGCCGGAGTGGTATATATAGTGGGGAGAGCAAGGGGAAGGCCCCTGGCAGCCAAAATGAAGTCTGTGCTGTGTGTGTGCTGCGTGCTGGCTCTGCTGGCTCTGACTGCTGCAGGTAGGGAGGAGGGCACCACACTCTGGGGGTGATTTATTCTGTTTGGAGGCATTTTAGGAGACTGTGTGTGTGTGTGTGAGAAATAGAAATGTTTTGTTGTAAAGTGACTTTTACTTATTAGAGCTCTGAACTTTTGTAGCAGCTGCATGGAAAGTGTTTTTTTAGGTGAGAGAGTTTGAAGATAAATTTGAATCTTGGAAACTTTTCTTTCACCTGTTTGGATTCAACAGAAATGTTTCGTCCTGGGCGTCCAGTGATCAGTTAGCTCTCCTGCACACTTTCTAAAAGAGACAAAGTCGTACTGAAACGCTGCCAATCATTCCAAACACTCAGACACTTCTCTCTCTCTCTCTTCGGTCAAAGACTTCAGATCTGAAGAAGTCTTTGATTCTGACAGAATCGTCAGTTTTAACGACCTTTAAAGATAATTCATGTTGGAAACATGAGCTGCCATCTTTCTGCAGAGTCATTACAAGAATGAGAGAGTGGAATATGAATCAGCTGTTTTTAGAGTGAAGCTATTTTCTTAAGTGGTCACTCTGATGCTTCCGTCCTGTAACGTTCTGAGGCTTTTTAACAGACATCCCTACGACCTGCAGGTCATGACCTCGGTTTATTGGAGAAGGAGCGTGTGTCGTATGTTGCTGTGTGAGTGTTTGAAGGTTCGACACCAGCTGAGAGAAACTGTCCTCTGGGTTTCATCTTCGCTCTCCGACTTCACACACACACACACACACACACACACTGCAGATAAAGACACTGATGATCACTTTCCTCCTCTGGGTTTTTATTTAAAGCGGTGGCGTGCAGGTCAGCACTCCTATGAGGAAGGAAGCGTTCAACACGTTCATCTTGAAAGCATAAAGCTCTGACACTAGACGAGTGAAGAGGTGAACACGTCCCAGGTGTCGCTCTGCTCGTGTGAAAGGCTGCGAGCTGATTGGTCATGTTTGGTCAGAGTACCCTTGTCTGTCCTTGCACTGTTGCGTACATTTTGGCCTGCACATGTTGCTGGAGTCAGGTGTCAGGCGTCAGTCACACAGAGTCACCAGATACTCTGCTCTTTAAGTCTGTGATACACATCTCTGTTAAGACTGTGCTCACACAACCGCAGCGGAAACTCTGGAATATAGAAGAAACATGTAGAACACATGCAGCGTATGTCGACAGGCCGAGTCTCTGCTCTGCTGCGTCTGAAGAGCTGCTAATCTGTGGTTCCAGTCAGCAGGGTTCATGTGGACGGGATGTCCCGGCTAAAAGCAGCATTAGAGAGCACAGCTGAAGATGAGTAGAGATCAGGATCCACACAGCTGGACTGTTTAAAGTTACAGATAATCACATGATATTAAAAGAAGTGGTGACAGATCTTCACCTCATGACGCAGCAGGCTGCTTTGATTACATTAGAAGATTATCGTCATGACCGGCTCAAAGGCAGATAAAGGGAGAGACACCGAAATATCACCTAAACTGGTTTATTTAAAAAAATATGAATTAAACTGCAAAAGAGATGAAGTCTGGGTGTAGTGTGAGTGAGCGGGTGTGTGAAAAATGTAGTGTGCTAATGTGCTGGATGGACAAAGTAACCAAACAAGGCGCTGACTGAGGTGTGAGCATCGGGCTCCTGCAACACCAGAAGAGAGAAGGCACAACCTGAAAGGCCACAGGGCCGTCACATTATGATGACCTTCATTAATGAAGACACTGAGTCTTTAGCTGCCAGGTCTGCAAATCGTTTCCCTGCTGCACATCCACTGTTGCTCCTTCCTTTTTTGATTTCTCCAGTGCATTCAACACCATCCAGCCACAACTGCTGGAAGAGAAGCTGCAGTTGATGGGTGTGGACTCATCCATCATCTCCTGGATTACTGACTACCTGACAGAAAGACCACAGTTTGTCCGACTTGCCAGTGTTCAGTCTGGAATGGTGTAGAGCAGTACAGGAGCTCCACAGGGGACTGTGCTGTCTCCTTTCCTTTTCACCTTGTACACTTCTGACTTTAAGTACAACTCCAGGTCATGCCACTTGCAGAAGTTTTTGATGACTATGTGGTGGTTGGGTGTAAGTGATGGGCAAGAGGAGGAGTACAGAGAGCTGCTGGATAACTTTGTGGAGTGGACAGGAAAAAATCACCTGATTCTGAACTTGGATAAGACCAGTGAGATGGTGATTGACTTTAGAAGGAAGAGGACAGAGCCACCACCGCTGTGCATCCTGGGAGAGGATGTGTCTGTGGTGGAGGAGTACAAGTTCCTGGGTGTCAACATAGACAACAAACTGAACTGGAAGGCCAACACTCAGGCTGACAAGAAGGGGATGAGCCGACTCTACTTTCTGAGGAAGCTGAGATCCTTCAACGTGTGCAGCAAGATGTTGGAGATCTTCTAATCAGTCTGTTGTGGCCAGTGCACTGTTCTCTGCTGTGGTCTGCTGGGGGAGCAGCATTGGAGCTGGTGAGACTAAGAGACTGGACAAACTCATTAAGAAGGCCTGCTCTGTGACAGGCTGCAAGCTGGAGTCTTTTGTAGTGGTGACAGAGAGGAGGACTCTTAACAAACTGTTATCCATTATGGATAATCCTGAGCACCCTCTGCACACCCTACTGGACAAACAGCGGAGCAGCTTCTCCAACAGACTGATCCAACTCCACTGTCACAAGGACAGATACAGGAAATCATTCTTAACGAAGGCCATAACGCTGTACAACAGCTCACCTCATACGAGCAGAGAACTGTCATCATGATAATGTCTGTCTCTCCTTACTGTAATCTGTTCTGCACATGTTATATTTACAAATTGTCCCTGCACTCAAGTTCACTTCATTTGTCTGTCTACTCGCCGTTATATTGAATAGTTTCTGCTAATAATAAGTCTACACTCATGCACTTTAACTTATGCATTACTGATGGCACAGCTCTGGACAGCTCCCTGTCAAGACGAGACAGATCATTTATGAAGCTTCATTCATTCCTAGAACAGTTCAACAGGGCTGAGAGAGCTTTAGGATGAGAGAGCTTCAGGGTGAGAGAGCGGCAGGGTGAGAGAGCGGCAGGGTGAGAGAGCGGCAGGGTGAGAGAGCGGCAGGGTGAGAGCGGCAGGGTGAGAGAGCGGCAGGGTGAGAGAGCTTCAGGGTGAGAGAGCGGCAGGGTGAGAGCGGCAGGGTGAGAGAGCGGCAAGGTGAGAGAGCGGCAGGGTGAGAGAGCTGCAGGGTGAGAGAGCTTCAGGGTGAGAGAGCGGCAGGGTGAGAGAGCTGCAGGGTGAGAGAGCTTCAGGGTGAGAGAGCTTCAGGGTGAGAGAGCTTCAGGGTGAGAGAGCTTCAGGGTGAAAGAGCGGCAGGGTGATAGAGCTTCAGGGTGATAGAGCTTCAGGGTGAGAGAGCTTCAGGGTGATAGAGCTTCAGGGTGAGAGAGCTTCAGGGTGAAGGAGCTGCAGGGTGAGAGAGCTTCAGGGTGAAGGAGCTGCAGGGTGAGAGAGCTGCAGGGTGAGAGGGCTGAAGGGTGAGAGGGCTTCAGGGTGAGAGAGCTGCAGGGTGAGAGAGCTTCAGGGTGAAGGAGCTGCAGGGTGAGAGGGCTGAAGGGTGAGAGGGCTGAAGGGTGAGAGAGCTTCAGGGTGAGAGAGCTGCAGGGTGAGAGAGCTGCAGGGTGAGAGGGCTGAAGGGTGAGAGGGCTTCAGGGTGAGAGAGCTTCAGAGCTGCAGGGTGAGAGAGCTGCAAGGTGAGAGAGCTGCAGGGCGAGAGAGCTGCAGGGCGAGAGAGCTGCAGGGTGAGATAGCTGCAGGCTTTTTAGTAAACTTGCCTCAGAGGAAGTGATAAAGGCCAACATGTTGAAGTTACACAGTAAGCCTGACACATGTCATCAGGACTGGTGCGGATTCATTTATAGATCTCCATGTTAAAGACGCTCTGAGTCACACAAACAGCTGCATGCTGGTTCAGGGAATGTGAGCGACAGTGCAGCTGAGCTGCAGGCCGACCTCCTGACAGTCAGAGGGGGAGGGGAATCATAACTCCTTTTCACCCTCTGACTCATTGTTTGACTATTTCTGTCTCAAAGCGGTACAGTTCAGCAACCAGGCACCTGTCCCCCCTCTGTCTCTCCTATGTCTCCCTCTATCCCCCCTGTGTCCCCAATGCTGTCTTCTGTCTCCCCTGCCCCCCCTTTCTCTTCCTGTCCCCCTTGGTCTCCTCAATCTTAACATCCTGCAGTCTGTGATGTGTTGTCATATCTTGTAGTATGAGCATGATGAGATTATAGATTATCCTGCAGTCTTCAGGTGTGCAGCTAACTCTCTCGTTTGACCCCGACCCTGCAGCAGCAGTCTCAAGCATTTAAAATAACTACATAGAAATAATCTGTCTTTCTGCTGATGGTCTTTTTTGCCTCTGTGATAAAGAGACATCCATATGGTCTTCAGTAAAACTCGTCCCAGGAGCTTTGGATCTAACGTAAACAAACAGAACACGTTCCAAAGGGACCGCCCTCATCACGCCTCTGAACTGTGGCACACATCTTCACCCTGCCCATGTTGGCTGCTGCTCATGTTCATGTTACACTGCAGACCATGTTGGAGCACTTTGTCTTTGGACAGCATCCAAACCTTGATAACGGCTCAATCAGAAGATCGCTATCCTCATGATGCCGCCATGTCTCTGAGCCTGGATGTCTGCAAGCGACAGGGAGGGAGGACTCTGATCTCTAAGATCCTCACAGTGCCACTAACTACTAAAACTGTCAAGCAGATCAGCCACCCTCTGACTCACGCTCAGGAAGAGAAGCTCAAGTTTGTGAGAATCTCGACAACTTATTTTGTTGCCTCTTAAAGCAGCAGTTTGTAACGTTTCCTCCTTCAATCAGTCATCTCAAAGTCGATCTAATAGAATATTAACTTCCAACAGGGAGAACGGTGTCTCTCATGTCCACAGAGCTGGCCTGTTTTCAGCACTATGTAACATGCATGCTCTGCCTCAGACTTGAAGAAGAGCACATTCTTTGTACTCACAGTTTGCACACGGTGTGGAGGCTATATGGATAGAAAGGTGATGTTCTCTGATCATCAATGCTGACAATCCCCTCAGGAGGTGATAAGCTCATAAAGCTTCTTGAAACGAGGGCTGACGAGCGACATCATGAGCACAACATAGTTTAACGTGTGATTCAGGGCCTTAAAATAGGGCAAAGAGGCCGTCATGGAGGCTGGTCTCAGGAAAACTAGAGGACATGTAGTCCTGAAAGCATCATTAAGGAGAGCCGGGGATCAAGACGGAGAGGATGAGAGTGAAGCCCTTCATCCAGCTTTACTTCTAAATGTTTCTTTACTCAGAAGCAGCTGATCGACTCAGCATCAAGACTTTCTACAGCCACACTTCAAGGTCCAATCAGTGAGATGTGTAGTGAGTGAAATGATAACGTGACCTTACTATATGATCAGATGTACACTTCAGCATGTGGTGTTATAAAGAAGGAGCCCTCTCCTTTGGCTGACTGGCTGCTTGGCTTTTTTTCTGAGAGACAGAAAGAAACAACATTTCATTTCAAATAATGAATGCATTAGACCTAACTGTCTGTTAACGCTAACACAAGCAGCTCATTTCATCCATTAACTAGCCCCCCCCCCCCGCTTCTCCTGTTCAGGGGCGCGAGGGGGTGGAGCCGATCACAGAGCTGACATATAGAGACAGACAACCAGCCAAACTCACATTCACACCTACGGACAATTTCGAGTCATCAGTTAACCTAACGAGCATGTGTTTGGACTGTGGGAGGAAGCAGGAGTACCCGGAGAGAACCCACACATGCACGGGGAGAACATGCCGACTCCACACAGAGAGGCTCCTGACAGACGGGGATTCAAACCAGGAACCTCCACACAGAGAGACTCCTGACAGACGGGGATTCAAACCAGGAACCTCCACACAGAGAGACTCCTGACAGACGGGGATTCAAACCAGGAACCTCCACACAGAGAGACTCCTGACAGACGGGGATTCAAACCAGGAACCTCCACACGGAGAGGCTCCTGTCAGACTGGGATTCAAAACAGGAACCTCCTCACAGAGAGACTCCTGTCAGACAGGGATTCAAAACAGGAACCTCCTCGCTGTGAGGGGACAGCGTGTGTACAGCCACAAGCAACTCACCCCAAAAGACATGTGCAAATCTTTTTTATGTTTTTTATGCACGTTTAAAAAGAATGATTTCTTTCATCATTGCTGCATTATGACTTTAAAACGTGACAACAACAGACGCAGCATTCTTTCATTTAAAGTAACAGAGTTAAAGTTACTTTCATTTAAAGTAATCAGATCCTCCACACGACCGTCCACTGCACACCAGCCTCAAATAGTCGGGCCTCAACACCCCCCATTCAAGGAGCTGAAACCTGAGTCTGATATCAGGGGGGGCACTGACCATCTGATCCTCTCAGTGACTGAAAACTGATCAATCTCTGACATAACAAAGGTTAGGGGTCTGCAGAGGCCCGGCTTGTTCCCACCGTGCGGTCTGATTGGTTAGAAGTGAAGGGAGGAAATAAACATTTTGAGGTATTTCTTTCGAAAGCAGAATCACATGTTTCCCTGTCTTTTGTCTCTTTGTAGGGTCCTCCATCCACGATGAGGAGCCTTTGGTGCGTTTGCAGCTCCAGCAGCCCGAGGGAGACCTCTTCTCCTGTGGATGTGACACAACAGAGGAGCCCGCCACCCAGAGCTCCTCCAATGATACACCGGCCCCCGAGAGGGCCATGTGCCAGCCCTGCTCCAAACCCCCATCCACTTTAGATACTGAAGAAAAGCCGGCTTCCTCCTCAGAGCATGAGGAGGAGCAAGAGGAGGGAGCAGCTCCTGCAGAGGAGGATGCTTCTACTGAGGAGGTAACAAGCCATGGAGAAGAAGAGGACCTGGAGGAGGCAGCTTCCCGGGAAGAGGAGGCGATGTCTGAGGAGGTGGAGGAGGGAGAAGCTGAGGAGGCAGCAGCGTCTGAAGAGAAGGAAAAGGTGGCTGAGATTAAGGAAGATGAGGAGGAAGCAGAGGAAGAGGAAGTGAATGAAGCTCAGGAAGAAGTTGCAGAAGAAGAACCTGAAGCTGAAGAAGCAGTCAAGGACACACAGGAGGACACACAGGAGGAAGCAGCAGAGGAGGAGACCGTGGAAACGTTGATACACGAGGCAGCAGAGGACGAAGATACGGCTGCTGAGGAAGGGGCTGCAGCATCCGAACCTGAACCAGAACCCCAAACAGACTCTGAACCCGAGGAATCAGAGCCAGAAGTCCTTGAAGAACCAGAGTTAGAAGTTGTTTCAGAGCCTGAACCTCAATCAGAGGAGACCGTAGAGCCAGAACCCCAAGACGTTTCAGAGCCAGAGGTTTCAGAGCCTGAACCAGAACCTGAAGTGTCTGCAGAGCCTGAAGGAGAACTCGAGATTACAGCAGAGCCTGAGCCTGAAGTCATTTCAGAGCAGGAGGTGATTCAGGAGCCAGAACCAGAAGTGACTGCAGAACCAGAGATTGAAGCGGTCGCAGAACCAGAGATTGAAGCGGTCACAGAACCGGAGATTGAAGCGGTCGCAGAACCTGAACCAGAACCAGAGGCTGTTTTGGAGGAGATAGCACCAGAACCTGTTGAGGTTTTGGAGGAGGAACCAGTGGAAACCACAGAGGAGGTCCCTGTGGTGGAGGAGGAACCTGTTGCTATGGAGGAGGTGACTGTGGAGGGGGTGACGGAGGAGGAGGAGGCGACGGAGGAGGAGCCTGCACAGTCTCAAACTGAAGGTACAATCAGATGAAAGCATCCAGCCAATAAGTCTTTGTTATATATTGTGCAAAATACATACTGTCTCTCTTTCTTTCTCTCTCACGCTCTCTCTCGTCCTCTCTCTCTTTCTGTCTCTCTCTCGTCCTCTCTCTCTCTGTCTGTCTCTCTCTCATCCTCTCTCTCTCTTTCTGTCTCTCTCTCATCCTCTCTCTCTCTTTCTGTCTCTCTCTCATCCTCTCTCTCTCTTTCTGTCTCTCTCCGGGACATGCCGAACCTCCACAATCTGACCCTGTGTATAGCTGAAGGGGGAATTAGCAGCAGCCTTTGCTCCAGAAATAAACAAACAAAAATAGCCGAGAAGAGGAACAGAGACGGGTGGACAACAGCGTGACGATAACAGTGGAGTGTATACTCACACAGATGGTGTGCTCACTCACGACACAGGAAGCCATTTACCTGAGGGAGCGGATTTATTCTGTGAGCATGTCTGCTGAGGTCTTAGTCCTTATCATTGACAGCTTAACTGGATAATATGACGGCATTCATTTGATTAGAGCAACATTGTTTTAATCATGTTTGTACGGTGGCCCAGAAGGTGCAAAGGGGTAAAATCCTCGAGTTTCCAATAGAGGCTGGCTGTAGAAGCACAGGAAGTCACATACACATCATACACATCATACACATCATACAAATCATACACATCATACACAAGCTTTTTAGAATGGGTGTGTATGTTGTGTATGATGTGTATGATGTGTATGCTGTGTATGCTGTGTATATGTATGATGTGTATGATGTGTATGCTGTGTATATGTATGATGTGTATGATGTGTATGTTGTGTATGATGTGTATGATGTGTATGCTGTGTATATGTATGATGTGTATGATGTGTATGTTGTGTATGATGTGTATGATGTGTATGCTGTGTATATGTATGATGTGTATGCTGTGTATTCTGTGTATGTTGTGTATGTTGTGTATGATGTGTATGATGTGTATGATGTGTATGCTGTGTATTCTGTGTATGTTGTGTATGATGTGTATGTTGTGTATGATGTGTATGCTGTGTATTCTGTGTATGTTGTGTATGTTGTGTATGATGTGTATGTTGTGTATGATGTGTTGTTGTGTATGTTGTGTATGTTGTGTATGATGTGTATGATGTGTATGTTGTGTATGATGTGTATGATGTGTATGCTGTGTATATGTATGATGTTTATGATGTGTATGATGTGTATGCTGTGTATGCTGTGTATGTTGTATATGATGTGTATGCTGTGTATGTTGTGTATGATGTGTATGTTGTGTATGATGTGTATGCTGTGTATGTTGTGTATGATGTGTATGTTGTGTTTGTTGTGTATGTTGTGTATGTTGTGTATGATGTGTATGATGTGTATGATGTGTATGCTGTGTATATGTATGATGTGTATGTTGTGTATGTTGTGTATGATGTGTTTGTTGTGTATATGTATGATGTGTATGATGTGTATGCTGTGTATGCTGTGTATGTTGTGTATGATGTGTATGCTGTGTATGTTGTGTATGATGTGTATGTTGTGTATGTTGTGTATGATGTGTTTGTTGTGTATGTTGTGTATGATGTGTATGATGTGTATGCTGTGTATATGTATGATGTGTATGATGTGTATGCTGTGTATGTTGTGTATGTTGTGTATGTTGTGTATGATGTGTATGTTGTGTATGTTGTGTATGATGTGTATGATGTGTATGTTGTGTATGTTGTGTTGTTGTGTATGATGTGTATGTTGTGTATGTTGTGTATGTTGTGTATGTTGTGTATGATGTGTATGCTGTGTATGTTGTGTATGTTGTGTATGTTGTGTATGATGTGTATGCTGTGTATGCTGTGTATGTTGTGTATGATGTGTATGCTGTGTATGTTGCGTATGTTGCGTATGATGCGTATGTTGTGTATGATGTGTTTGATGTGTATGTTGTGTATGTTGTGTACGATGTGTACGATGTGTACGATGTGTTGTTGTGTATGATGTGTATGATGTAAATGTTGTGTATGATGTGTATGATGTGTTGTTGTGTTGTTGTGTTGTTGTGTATGATGTGTATGATGTGTATGATGTGTATGTTGTGTATGATGTGTATGATGTGTATGATGTGTATGTTGTGTATGATGTGTATGTTGTGTATGATGTGTATGTTGTGTATGATGTGTATGATGTGTATGTTGTGTATGATGTGTATGCTGTGTATATGTATGATGTGTATGATGTGTATGCTGTGTATTCTGTGTATGTTGTGTATGATGTGTATGATGTGTATGCTGTGTATATGTACGTTGTGTATGATGTGTATGCTGTGTATTCTGTGTATGTTGTGTATGATGTGTTGTTGTGTATGTTGTGTATGTTGTGTATGATGTGTATGATGTGTATGTTGTGTATGATGTGTATGATGTGTATGATGTGTATGCTGTGTATATGTATGATGTGTATGATGTGTATGTTGTGTATGCTGTGTATGCTGTGTATGTTGTGTATGATGTGTATGCTGTGTATGTTGTGTATGTTGTGTATGATGTGTATGATGTGTATGTTGTGTATGATGTGTTGTTGTGTATGTTGTGTATGATGTGTATGCTGTGTATATGTATGATGTGTATGATGTGTATGCTGTGTATGCTGTGTATGTTGTGTATGATGTGTATGATGTCTATGTTGTGTATGATGTGTATGTTGTGTATGATGTGTATGATGTGTATGATGTGTATGCTGTGTATGTTGTGTATGATGTGTATGCTGTGTATGTTGTGTATGATGTGTTTGTTGTGTATGTTGTGTATGATGTGTTTGTTGTGTATATGTATGTTGTGTATGATGTGTATGATGTGTATGTTGTGTATGTTGTGTATGATGTGTTTGTTGTGTATGTTGTGTATGATGTGTATGATGTGTATGATGTGTATGCTGTGTATATGTATGATGTGTATGATGTGTATGCTGTGTATGTTGTGTATGTTGTGTATGATGTGTATGCTGTGTATGTTGTGTATGATGTGTATGCTGTGTATGCTGTGTATGTTGTGTATGTTGTGTATGATGTGTATGCTGTGTATGTTGCGTATGTTGTGTACGATGTGTACGATGTGTACGATGTGTACGATGTGTTGTTGTGTATGATGTGTATGTTGTGTATGATGTGTTTGATGTGTATGTTGTATACGATGTGTACGATGTGTACGATGTGTACGATGTGTACGATGTGTTGTTGTGTATGATGTGTATGATGTAAATGTTGTGTATGATGTGTATGATGTGTTGTTGTGTTGTTGTGTTGTTGTGTATGTTGTGTATGATGTGTATGATGTTTATGATGTGTATGTTGTGTTGTTGTGTATGATGTGTATGATGTGTATGATGTGTATGATGTGTTGTTGTATTGTTGTGTATGTTGTGTATGATGTGTATGATGTGTATGATGTGTATGTTGTGTATGATGTGTTGTTGTGTTGTTGTGTATGATGTGTATGATGTGTATGATGTGTATGATGTGTATGATGTGTATGTTGTGTTGTTGTGTATGATGTGTATGATGTGTATGATGTGTATGATGTGTATGTTGTGTATGATGTGTATGATGTGTATGATGTGTATGTTGTGTATGATGTGTATGATGTGTATGATGTGTATGTTGTGTATGATGTGTTGTTGTGTATGATGTGTATGATGTGTATGATGTGTTGTTGTGTTGTTGTGTATGTTGTGTATGATGTGTATATGTGTGATGTGTATGATGTGTATATGTATGTTGTGTATGATGTGTATGTTGTGTATGATGTGTGTGATGTCTTGTTGTGTATGATGTGTATGATGTGTATGATATGTATGATGTGTTTGTATTGTAATTGACTGTCACCCTGTAAACTGCATAAAGTCCTAGAAGAATAAGGTTTACTATACCACATGACTGACTATCTGCTCCTCCAATCAGAGCAAAAGGAAGGTGCAGCTGCGGGCCCAAAGCCGAGGGACAGGTCCCACATTGAGAACACGCTGCGATTGGCGGCAGCTGAACCCTCCGCAGAGTTCTCAGGTAAGAAGCAAACACATTGAAACGTGATGACGGGAGGGTTAGGGTCCTGCAGATGTGTTCACATGTTCTGTGCTGCCCAGCGTTTCAAACGTCTCTCAGACCTTCTCTGCAGAAACGGCTGAAGTGTTGCACTGAAACACAGAAGTCAGCCCATTGTTTACAGAGACTCTGACAGTGGAAAAGAAAAACAGATGTTTGCATGTGAATGAAAGGAAGCTTTACACAACGTTTGAAGCTTTTATGCCATAACTATTTTGAAGATTGCTTCATGATGTCCAGTTCCTGGGCTGGCATCCAACAGTGTGCTTTCAGTATGTATCTGTGTGTATGTGTGCGAGCGTGCACGTCCAGAGGCAGGTGATTAATCAGTGCAGTAGTGAAACTCTGTCCTGGGCATGAAAGCCTCTCTGTGCTCTCAAAGCAGATTGGTTTATTTCAGATCAGCCAGCATGCTGCAGCAGAGCCCGTCTCTGTGAATCACCTCAGCTGAGTCCCTTTATAAGAGTCATTCATCATGTGCTGCTGAAGCATGTGTTGTAATCTGTAACGCCATTACATCCCAATTATAACATCCCACCTCTTCTCTGTTTGAAGCTGCGATGAAGACGCTGCTGAGCACATACCACAACGCCATCAAGCCGATGGAGCAGGCCTTCAAGTACAACGAGCTCAGGCAGCACGAAGTCACAGGTAAGTCTGCCTCCTATTGGTGATAAAGAAGCAGCAACCTCCAGGGATGAAAAATTAAGGTTTGAAAAATCCTGCAGTTCCTCGAGTGTCCACTAGAGGCTGGCTGCAGAAGCACAGGAAGTCACATACACACCCATTCTTAAAAGCCTATTTTTACAGCAGAGATGAACATGTCTAACAGGTGGGGTTAGGGTTGTTTAAATAGGTCTGATTAGATCAGGTCTCGATTGGCACACTCTTTATTCTTACCAAAACATTTAGTTCCTTCAGTTAAAGGTTTGACAATAACCTGGAGCTGCAGAGAAACATTAAAGTAAGAACAAAGTCATAATGAATCCCAGAGAGAGCCGAACCCCGACGAACGAAGACACATACCATTAGGGCTCTGTGTGCTGAAAAGGGGACTCACTGAAACTTCCATCACACTCGAGCCAGGGAGGATTAGTGATGCTGAGGAGCTGCAGACCTAAGACTGCAGGCTGGGGAACATTACTCTGCTGCCCCTTTTGGTGAAGAGTGGAAATACCTGTATTTAACTCAGTGATGAATATTTATTAGTTTAGTGTGATCAGCACTTTTACTTTGAAATGCACTTTGGTTACTTACTGTGTGTCTGCGTGTGTGTGTCTGTCTGTGTGTGTGTGTGTCTGTCTGTCTGTCTGTCTGTCTGTCTGTCTGTGTGTGTGTGTGTGTGTGTGTGTGTGTGTGTGTGTGTGTGTGTGTGTGTGTGTGTGTGTGTGTGTGTGTGTGTGTGTGTGTGTGTATCTCTGCAGACGGTGAGGTGACCTCTAAGCCCATGGTTCTGTTCCTGGGACCCTGGAGTGTAGGCAAATCCTCCATGATCAACTACCTGCTGGGTCTTCATGGAACCTCACAGCAGCTCTACACAGGTTCACACTGAATATACACTGATTACACACTGAATACACACTGAACACACACTGAACACACACTGAATACACACTGAATACACACTGAACACACACTGAACAAAAATTGAATACACTGAATACACACTGAATACACAATGAACACACAATGAACACACACTGAACACACACTAAACAAACACTGAAAACACACTGAATACACTGAATACACACTGAACACACGCTAAACAAACACTAAATACACACTGAATACACACTGAACACACACTGAACAGGTGACTCGTAGTGACGTGTAGAATAATTCACTTGAGACTTCTCAAGTTTTCATGATGTCCATCTTTTTAACATCGTTAAGATTTAAAAGTCGTCTCGTAGGTTTTTTGTTTCAAGGAATATTTGTCCTTCAGGGCCACCGAACCTCCTCCTTTACACTTTATAAACTGAGTAACGATGAGGCATGAGAACTCTAATGGTGTGGGGTTCTTTGATGGTTCACGATTCTGCAGACTCCTCACTTCTTCATGTGTCCACCAGGTGCTGAGCCCACCACCTCAGAGTACACGGTCATAATGCACGGGGACAAGTTTAAGACCATTGAGGGCATCGTCATGGCAGCAGACAGCTCACGCTCATTCTCGCCTCTGGAGAAATTTGGCCAAGGTTTCCTGGAGCGTCTGGTGGGCATCGAGATGCCCCACAAGCTGCTGGAGAGGGTAACCTTTGTCGACACACCCGGCATCATCGAGAACCGCAAGCAGCAGGAGAGAGGTGACCAACGCTGCAGAGTTCACTGTCTGTTTGTTCACTACAGCAACTGTTTATAAATGAAGAAGATGCTGAAGCGTTTGACGAATGTGACCAAATGTTTTTTCACCTTCTGCATTTTAGTATTTTTTTCTTGATTATTTAAGTTTATTGAACCAGGAGAACCTCATTGAGATTAAGAATCTCATTTGCAAGAGTGTCCTGGCCAAGATGGGCAGCAGCACGACAAAAGGTTACAGACATAAAACACAGAGTAATTACAAACACAGTTTAACATTTCTTGAGTCACAGAGCACAAAGTCATTAAAGCATCTACAAACTGAAGCATCTTCCTCACACACCTTCAATCTACTTTTAAATGATTTAAAGAGACAAGCACCCCCAGACACAGATCATCCTGCAGGAGATTCCAGGCCGCCGGCGCAGCAAACCTGAAACTCCTTTTCCCCATTTCAAGACGCACTTTGCGTCATTTCCTGAACCATGAATATTATAAACGACATGAGTGTGACCAGTTTCTGCCCCCCCACCCCCACCCCCTCAGGTTACCCCTACAACGAGGTGTGCCAGTGGTTCATCGATCGAGCAGATCTCATCTTCCTCGTCTTCGACCCCACCAAGCTGGACGTGGGCGGCGAGCTGGAGATGCTCTTCAAGCAGATGAAGGGCCGCGAGTCTCAGATTCGCCTGATCCTCAACAAGGCCGACAGCCTGACCACGCAGGACCTGATGAGGGTCTACGGAGCCCTGTTCTGGAGCATGGCGCCGCTCATCAACGCCACAGAGCCTCCGCGGGTTTACGTCAGCTCCTTCTGGCCTCAGGATTACACTGCAGACACCAGCCGAGGACTCTTCATAAAGGAGGAGACGTCTCTGCTGGAGGACCTGAACCAGGTTCACAGTCTACAAACACAAACTCAGACTGAGTGTTTCACTGAACACCAGCTGCATGAACACATTCTCAGTGACATGTGGGGGCGTGAAGTCACCCCTCACTTTCAGAGTCTTTCTTCGCTCCTCCTGTTCTTTAACTAAAATGAAAGTTTGATAAACTCGTCACATTATTTTTTTTATTCATTGATTTAACCTTTATTCAACCAGGTTGGTCCCATTGAGATTAAAAACGTATTTTTCAAGGGAGACCTGGCCAAGACAGGCAGCAGCAAAAACACAAAGTTACAGACGGATATACAAAGAGAGACACAGTACAATTTAGATAAATATAGAATGTGCTTCCATGTCTTTCATTTTAGATTTAAAAACATTTAAGGACACCAGCTCAGAGCATAAAGAGGTCCTGAGCATAAAGAGGTCCTGAGAACGCAAAGAATACTGAATACTGTTCTTAGATCAAATGACGCTCCAAAGACGGACGACTGAACAGAGTCTCTTATTACAGCGCTCCGTGTGATTGGAAGTATTTACAGTAAAAACCAGAGCATTCTTATGAAGCAGCTTCAGAATATTCATGGTGTTACTGGTCGTGTTTCATAAAACGTTTAAGTCCCACCTCTCGCTCGCTGTGATTTTTCCTGAATATTTTCTCCTGCGTTCATCTGCTCCTCTCCTCTTGTCACTTACAATAAAGGAAAAACAAAATGTTGTGGTTTTAACAACAGCCTTCAGCCTCCTCTCACTCCTCTCTCTCCTCTCCTTTAGGTGATTGAGAATCAAATAGAGAACAAGATCGCCTTCATCCGCCAACACGCCATCCGTGTTCGCATCCACGCTCTCCTGGTGGACCGCTACCTGCAGACCTACTACGACAAGCTGGGCTGGTTCAGCGACCCCTACGAGGTCTTCCAGGACATCGTCAACGACCCGGACAAGTATTACATCTTCAAATCCATCCTGGCCAAAACCAACGTCAGCAAGTTTGACCTCCCGGACAAAGAGGCCTACCAGGACTTCTTCGGCGTGAATCCCGTGTCAGGCTTCAAGCAGCTGTCGTACCACTGCAGCTGGAGCGCCGGATGTCTGCTGGAGAACATCGAGAGGGCCATCACACACACACTCCCGGCTCTGCTCAGCGGTGTCAGCAAGGCCTCAGACACGCCTGCACCCACCAAGGCTGCATCCCCACCTCCCCCTCCACTCCCCGGAACCTGTGAGGGACCCGGGTGTGAGGAGACACCAAAGAACCGCTGGAGGAGGCAGTGACAGGGAGGAGAGAGGGGAGCAGGAGGCGGGATCAGAAGAGGCAGTGAGAGGGAGGAGCCAGGGGAGCAGGAGGACATACTGGCTGCTGCATTGTTGTCAGAGAAGCCAGCACTTCAACATAGCATGTTTCCTAAATGTCTGATCATATAGTAAGGTACCTTTATCATTTCAGTCACTACACATCTTACTGATTGGACCTTTGAGGTTTATGTTTAGATGAAGTGTCCTGATGTGCATGACAAACGATATCCCATAAAAAACATCAACACAACGTGTTCATGAAGATATCTTCACTGGGACAAGATTTGTATTTTTGGGCTTTTTTTGGGCCTTCATTACAAAGACAGGACAATCAGAGAGAGAGAGAGAGAGAAAAAGAGAGAGAGAAAGGGACGACATGCAGGAAAGGAGCCACAGGTCAGCTGTAGACCCGGACCACTACAAGGACTACAGCCTCCTTACATGGGGCGCTCAAACCAACCACTCGTCCCCAGGCGCCTGAAGACCCCTCTTCACCTTCACTCGTCCTTACAGAGATGATGGACATGTTTCTGGGTCTCTGGAGGAGCCAAACACTGAATGTTTATGACTTCATTTAAACATAGACATCTATGTTTACTAACACCATCACTCATGAACACATCTGATGATTTCTTTTCCCGCCTTTTTTCCCCCTCTGTAATTATTTATTCCTCTTTGAGTGACGTGAGCGGTTTGACGTTGAACACCGCCTGCCGTTCTTCAGTCGTTTGTGTCGTGTGCTGTGTCTTTACATTGTGATTATTTTCATGGCGGGACGTTTAGAACAGAATCATGTGTTCTCTCTGTCCCCGCCTCGTCGTCAGCAGGAGCCATGTTGGTCACTGTGCTGTATTATTGTTTCTCTTTACTTCACTGCGTCACTCTAAAACATTTAGTTTGACTCTAACGTCCTCCACACTCATTGATGAGCAGCTTCCTGTTGAACGTGAGCTGGTTGTGATGTCACCGCGGCCTCTCAGCTCTCTGGATGCTGTTGGTTTGACCTCCACCCGGCTGAACACCACACGGGTATTCCCTAAACCAATCAAATCTCATCCTTCTTTCTTAAAGTCTGTTTGTATTTGCGTGATTCATTTTGATTAAAAACAGAGAAACGTCTGCAGCCCTCCTTTGTGTCCTTTGAAAGACTAATGAGATCTCCCTCCCAGAAACTATTTATAATTAACATCACTTCGTAGTCAAGCTGCAAAATTCATGGTGAGGAGTGTTTGGGGAGGACAGCAGCGCTCTGCTCCTCTCGACGTCCCCCCTCATGATGAAATATCACAGACTGATGTGATCCTACATCACAGCATGAATTACAAACATGATTCAAGAGGTGTGAGAATATAAAAGAAAGAAGGAAAACGCAATAACAATCTAAAAAAACCTGTTTGTTTGTTTCATTTGGCAGTGAGTAAAATCAGCCACCAGGAGGCGCCTCAGCTCAGCGTGTAACCTGACTGAACCTGCAGTGTGAACACGGCAGGCTGGAACAACTTCATCTCAGATATAAATGCTTCATTCTAATCCAATCCAACTAGTTAGAAAACTGGATATAAAATATCTAAACTTTAAATATCTGATTACCTCAACACTCCTGATCATTTTACTTTCTTTAAAGGGGACATATTCTGAAAAAACCTCTTCTACAGTGTTTTTGAACATATATTTGGGTAACCTGAGTGTCTACTGACCCACAAAATGTGAAATAAACCCATCCAGTCCTTTGTTTGTGGTCTGCATAAGTCTTACAACACAGAGAAAAATGTTCTGTTTCATATGTGCTCTCCTTTTGATGTCACAGTGGGATTCTGGTAAAACAAAATCCCCCTGGAACAAAACTTTTGAGCATGTCCGCCATTTTTATTCTCACTACAGTTGAGTGATGTCTACGGGGAAAACTCAGGGGGGGGGCTCATTGCATTTAAAGAGACACACACACCAAAACAGAGCATTCTGAGAGAGCTGGTTTAAACAGGGTCACAAACCTCTGGTGCTTGATTCATGTTATATTTTGACCAAAGCACAGCACAGATGTTTCATTTGGACCACAGAGGACTGTTTGAAAAGGTGAAGAAGGGGGATAATATGTCCTCTTTTATGTTAGTGTGAGTGTCACATTTTCACGTGTCTGCAGGCCGACGACCTTCAGCAGCAAACAAGTCATGATGGTGCACGATAACACAAGATTAGACTCTCTGAGAGCGGCTCTTATGGACGCAATGGTAAATGCTTGTATATTTCTTTTCTAGTCTTCAAAGCGCTTTTACACCGCAGGTCACACATACACATTCACACCCTGATGGTAGAGGCTGCTGTGTAAAGAGTCCATCATCATTAACTCATCCATTCATACACATTCACTCACTGATGGGTGACCCTGGTAACCCTAACACATCTGCAGGAGCTGCGGATGGAACCCCCAACATCCGGTTGAGAGATAGCAGACTCTACCAACTGAGCCACATGTTGGATGGTATCATATTAACGTATCGTATTAATATAAAAAAGTTTGGTTTTGAACTTGATGATTAAATGCATTTTTGGTCATCTCGTCTCATCACTTCTGCTTTGAAGAACATCTGTCGACCCTGAGAAGTTAATATCCCTCTCAGAGTCAATAAAACATCACGGATGACTTCAGTCTCACGCTCCGCACGCCATGAACCTGTAAATGTGTAATAATGCGACACGTGTAAAAAAACAGTATATTGAGTGAGTCATCTGTGGTTACTGAGCTGGCAGGCAGCGCTGAATGTTAGCGCAGACTTATCAGTGCAGCTTTATCAACTCTACAAACAAACCTCTCCTGTTAGCTCTGTGAGCACAAACACACCTACACACACGCCAACCACAAGACATGTACACACACAGAGACACACACGCACACACACACCGCAACCCACAGAGACACATACACACGCACACACACTATAACTCTGTTACCTTGTTCATCTAGCTTCCTGCTGTCCACACTCTCATCACTTCACTGTCTTCAGCTTTAAGTGTGTAAATAAATTCAACTCATTCAGCTTTGAGTGTTTTATGACCAACAAGCTCTTAACAAGATGTCTGTGCTTCCTTTGCACTATTTAAAGACTTGTGATTGGCTGAAAGGTCACTGAACACTAAAGATGATCCCAGCTGTCATTGTGCGAGAGGCGGGGTTACACCCTGGACTGTTCACCAGCCAATCACAGGGCTGACATATAGAGACAGACAACCAGCCACACCACACATTCACACCTACGGACAATTTAGAGTCATCAGTTAACCTAACGAGCATGTCTTTGGACTGTGGGAGGAAGCCGGAGTACCCGGAGAGAACCCACACATGCACAGGGAGAACATGCAAACTCCTCACAGAGAGGCTCCTGTCAGATGGGGATTCAAACCAGGAACCTCCTCGCTGTGAGGGGACAGCGCTAACCACTGCACGCCACCATGTTCCTCTAACTCTAATATGTGTCTCTAGTCTGTCTACAAACCCCCCAATGACGAGAAAAGTCCATCCTCTCCGTCTTTTGCCTGCTCCACTTTTCAGAAAATGTGTGCTCAAACAGGCCGTTTGGAGATTTTCCCTTCATGACATCACAAAGGGCAGTAGCCCCTCCCCCAGGTGGGTGACACTCCAACAGCTAGGGGTTTGTTCTGCCCTCTGAGTCTGCCTTCTCACCGTAAACAATAGGACATGGAGCGAGAAAGCCCGAGACACCCAAGCCCTTCCAGAGAGCGGGCGTGGTCAGACACAGCTCATTTACATATTTAAAGGTAAAGACACAGAAACAGCTTGTTCTGATCAGGGCTGAAATAGAGGGGTTTATAGACATGATCAAATACAGGATCAGAGTGGATTTAGAACAAGAAACTTCACACACGTTTTGAGGAGCTCTGAGACTTATTTACACTGATGAAGAGGAGGAGGATATGTGACCTTTAAATACTTCAGCGAAGAAGATTTTCATGTTGCTGTTCTGTTTAGTTCATGAATAAATCAAATTATTTACCGTGCGTGTGCACGCAAACTTTATGGCACCCCTGCATAAATCAGTGTCCCAGTGAAGGACACTGCTGCATCTTTGAATGTCTCATTTCACTTTAACAAACTCTCAGACAGTTCAGCTGACGAGTCCAAAGTAATATCCACCTTATGACATCACACATTGACCTTATGACATCACACATTGACCTATGACATCACACATTGACCTTATGACATCACACATTGACCTTATGACATCACACATTGACCTATGACATCACACATTGACCTTATGACATCACACAATGACCTTATGACATCACACATTGACCTATGACATCAAACATTGACCTTATGACATCACACATTGAGCTTTGTTACTGTTCCTTTGAGCTGTTTGACCTCAGTTTGGGATCCCTAACCACTTCCTGTTTCTGGGCTTAACTTCATGTCATAACCTTCACTTTTCAGGAAGGGCCTTACTTTATTTCAAAATAAAAGCCTAACAAATGGACATTTGACTGAAAACTTCCTAATCATTTACTTTTTATGGTTCTGATTTTTATTGCTCATGTTTTTATTTTGAAATAACAAAGTTTTAAATGTTCTTTATGTTTAGATTTTAAAATAATACTAAGGTGAACTGGAGATTAAAAAAAAGGTTCAAATGTCTCTGTCACTGTTCGTGTCAGATCATTTTAACATGAAGGCGGTAATGGCCAGTTGGGGGGCCCCCTGTGAATGTGTGCCCAGGACCCCTCCAGACTCTAGACCCACCTCTGTTAATATCACTTCTTTATAAAACTACAAACGTTTCCTTTAACTTTTCTTTTTTTAAATCACGTAATGGCAAAGAAAACGTGATCTTCCTTCATAAATCATGCGTGGAAAAGTTCACTGCCTCATTCCCTCCTTGAAAGGCAAGACCGGAAACGGTGTTTTTTGAAACTCTGTTGTACTTGACAGGCTCGTCCCACCGACCCGCACCGACACAACAGCTGGGGGAGGATTTCCGAGCAGCTCTCAGCGAAGATGGTGGCACAGGACTGGAGCTGTTACGTCGTTCCGGATAGGACGGAGCAGCAGCCAAAACTCCCGCTGTAGGTCTGTTTTTATTTAGCCCCCAGCTCCAGGAGAGAGAGAGCGAGAGAGAGACAGAGAGAGAGAGAGAGAGAGAGAGAGAGAGAGAGAGAGAGCTGTGTCGGGGGGGAAAGGGAGGCAACCAGCGGCGGACGGAAGAGGACGCACCACAGCCAGAGCGCATAGTGTTGTGTTTGTTGGACACATGCATGCCAGCGAAAACTAGAGCCATCCAGACCTCAGGAGCTGCTCGGGATAACGAGTCAGTGCCGTATGTGGGCCGGTTTTTGATCATCCCACCGAAGACGCTTCCAAAGAGGGTCTCCTTTATCGCTCTGGGGATTTTCTGCTTCTGTGCTCCGGGGGGAATGCGAGGGGAGGAAATCCAGCCTCAGCTCCAAATAACCAGAGACTCCTAACTGGGTCTCCTCTCCAAACTCAGGAAATACGGCCTGGGAAAACAAAGTTTGGGAGCTTTTGGAAACAAGAGGGGGGCCTATACCGCTGACGTTTTAAAAGGAGAGCTTTTTAATGAGAGCTAAAGCTACCCTACATGAAGTTTGTGAACAGCAGTCCAATGATACACTCCGTGGGTGTTGTTTTTACCAGACTTTTGATCATCACTATTTATAGCCCAGCCTGCTCCGACCGACGCTGTTCCTCATAGCTGTACATTTTTGCCAACTGCGCGCAACAAGTTGCAGACACTCCCAGCAGAGGCAAAGCTGCACTGATTCGGGCCAGCGGAGGGTATGTTCTGCTCTTCTCTTTTTGGATTACACGTCTTTGAATAGCACAATCCCCTCCCCGACCACCTCCTCTTTGGCAGGCAGGCAGGGGGGGAATAAACAGTGGAGATCCGGAGAGGGAGTTCAGGAAAGAACGGGGCTGGATCCGTGGGAATAGGCCTGCCTGTCAGGCCTCCTGTGATCTGGGTCTTGGACTGGACCTCCTAAATAAAACTCAGTGTGGAATAGTTTCTCGGATCTGCAGGGATTATGATGGAAGAAGAATGTATGGGGGGGAAGAACTTAAATCCTTAGCCCAGTGAGCCATGCATGAGAGGGGGGTGTAGAGGAAGTTAAAGCTGCTTAAATCACAAATCATCCACTTTATTATTTGAATGAACAGACCTGTGCACACACACAGTCAGAGCATGTAATGCAAACTAATGTATGAAGAGGAGCGTTTAATAAATGCAGTGTTCATGCTTCATGATAAGGGATTCAACACATATTAATATTATTATTATTATGATATCACTTTAAGGACAGTGTTTGTTGTGTTCATAAGAGCCTGAGTCAGTCTGGGAGGGCCATTAGTCCCCCATGTTGTGCAGAAGAAAAGGTCAGTGTAACTTTTGCAGCCTCATGTGTACAACTGTTGACAGCCTGACTCTGGATCTGCTCATGCGATGAATCCCTGGACCTGAACATGCACACATCCTTTTTTTATTCGTAAAAAAAGACAGATCCGGGCATCTTTCCAATCCTGCCTTACACTTTGTAATGTCAGCAGTGTAGATATTGCGCACATCCAGATGAGGTAATTTCCAGTCATGTAACGTCAGGATCGACATAGTGAAAAAAAGAAACCGTTGCATCACAACGTTGTCCTTCCCGAGGAGGATGTTCACTTCAGGAGGCAGAAAGAAAGATGAGCGTGTTTTTACCGCAGCTGGGGAGGACGCCGGGCTCAGACCCAGAGCCTTTTTGGAGAAGGATCCATGTAATGTGAGTACTGACGCAAACCCGGGCTCGGAGAATGAACTGCTCAACAAACTGGAACGGCGCGTCTTGTGTGAGTGAGTGTGCAGACTGACGTGTGCGTAGAAAAGACGTCTGTGCCGTCACCATACATGCAGCAGTGTGATTATTCCAGCAAACACCTTTGCTCTCTTTCTGCCCCCCCCTCGCGCCACATGTGTACAAGCGGCGCCCACGCACTCTGTCTGATTGCCTGAGCGCCATGAGAAGATTGTATTAATATTTTAAACCCCATCGTTTCTCTTCACCCAAGTCAATATGGCCACTCTGCAACATCACCGGCAGCTTCTCATGCACGGCACGGAAGTGAGCTGCGACTCCAGCGGGGATGGCGCCGTGACCGTGCGGATTACCAACAGCCCGACACACGTGCATCAACATGAGCCACTGAGGGGCAGCGGGGCAGGCGGAGGAGCTGGGGGAGCAGGAGGCTACAGCGCTGTGAGTAAAATGAACCCTAACCTGCACAAATACAGCATCTCCTCCAGCTGCAGCTCAGCAGACTCCAGACCCGTGTTGACCTCCACCTCCAGGGTGCACAGGGAAGCCCCTCCCCTTTTTGAACGCTCTGCTGCCCAGTGCTGGGACCCCAAGTTTGACTCTGCCATCCTAGAGGAGGCGTGCCAGGAGAGGTGCTTTCCTCAGACGCAGCGGCGCTTCCGTTATGTTCTGTTCTACCTGGCAGTGTCAGCTGTACTCTGGGGGGTTTACTTCGGGGTCAATAGTGGCCGCTGTGACCCTGTGACCTTCTTAATCCCCACAGCCTCCTTTCTAGTCCTCCTTGTGCTCCTCTTTCTGTTCACCCTAACCCAGCCCTACACGTGGCTGTACAATCAAACCTCCTTGCTCCTGATCGCCGTCACCTTCGCCATCACTTTAGCTCCACAGATACAAACTGCTGGTTTCACTGAGCTGGAGTGGGCTGGTGGCGGGAACGCCTCGTACCTCTCACCAGACACAGGGGCATCGCCTCCCACTCCTTGCATCTCCCCCGTGGGCACCTTTTCCCTGTGCATGGAGGTTCTGCTGTTGCTCTACAGCGTCCTCCATGTTCGCCTGTACGCCTCAGTGATGCTGGGTCTCCTGTATTCTGTTTTGTTTCAGGCTTTAGAGTGGCTCCCGCTGCTTCAAAAAAGTTATGACACGGCTGGATGGGGGGCGGGGCTAGTGGGTTCAGGTTCTAATTGGGAAGGAGACACCCTCTGCTGGCTCGGCCCGGCTAAAGCTCTGCTCCACCTGTGCGCCCATGTCATTGGCATCCACCTGTTCATCATGTCAGAGGTGCGGTCTCGCAGCACCTTCCTCAAAGTGGGCCAGGCCATCATGCACGGTAAAGACTTAGAGGTGGAGAAGGCGTTGAAGGAGCGCATGATCCACTCGGTCATGCCCAGGCGGGTTGCAGATGAGCTGATGAAGCAAGGTGACGATGAGGGTGGAGGTGAGAATTCTGGCAAGCGTTATTCCTCCGGTGCCTGCTCCGCTTCGGCTGTGTCAGTGGGCGGTGGAGGAGGGGGCGGATCTTCCCAAGCCCAAAGTGCCTCAAACCCCAACAATCATCGGCATAACTATCACAAACGCAAGAAGACCTCCATCCCCCGCGGACAGATCATCTTCCGTCCCTTTAACATGAAGCGCATGGAGCCCGTCAGCATTCTGTTTGCAGACATCGTGGGATTTACCAAAATGTCTGCCAATAAGTCGGCCCCGGCCTTGGTGGGCCTTCTCAACGACCTGTTTGGACGTTTTGACCGGCTCTGTGAACTAACCGGCTGCGAGAAGATCAGCACTCTGGGAGATTGCTACTACTGTGTAGCCGGCTGCCCCGAGCCCCGACCGGACCACGCCAACTGCTGCGTGGACATGGGCTTGGGAATGATCCAGGCCATCGAGCAGTTCTGCCAGGAGACGTGTGAAACTGTCAACATGCGAGTGGGCGTCCACACCGGCACGGTCCTGTGCGGGATCCTGGGAATGAAGCGCTTCAAATTCGACGTGTGGTCAAATGATGTCAATCTAGCTAACTTGATGGAGCAGCTCGGCGTGGCAGGCAAAGTCCACCTGTCGGAAGCCACCGCCCAATTCTTGGACGACCACTACCAGAGGGAGGACGGGCAAGTGGCAGAGAGAGCCGGGCAGAGCGTGGTGGAGAAACTGAAAGGTAAGTGATTGTTTGCAAGTATGACGTTTCTGCAGAGATGAGAAACACCAAGTGTCATTTATCGTCTTTCTGGCGATGTAGAATGTGATTTCAAAAATACAGAACATACAACAAAATCATACCAGAAAAGAAAAACTGAAGTACAGTTTGTGTTTAATATCTTCAGAATGAAATAAAGAGAAGTGTACATTATCTCTGGACACCATGGTGATACCTGTCTGCAACATGTCTCCCCTGAAGCTCAATAAATCCAGAAAGATGTTTTTATTTGACGTTAAATTAATCTGAGATCGTCTGATAGCAGCTCAAGCTTTATCTGCATCTTCTTACTGTGATGAGTTCATACTCTTTGGATGTGTTTACTGAGGACGCTCACATTGAGATAACCAGTTCAGCTCGACGTCAGCGCGCCTTTAAAGTTTAGACAGATGGTCGTAAAACATTCAAACTGCTGCAAACACTTTTAAGACACGCTTACAAACAGAGGAGTGCAGAGGTGTTCAGTCATATACGTGCAGGTTTTCGAGGTTTAAAGAGTACATTGTCTGAACGTGTGCACCCAAGTTAGGGGTCATCAGGGTCACGTGGGGTCACTGCGTGCCCAGACAGCAGAGAAATATGTAATCTGACCAGCTAGCCCGGCGTGAACGCTCGAGCCCCAGGAGCAGCAGATCAGGCTACAAGATTAAGAGATTAGAGCAGCAGGAAGAGACACATGTGTTTATATTAACAGGATAAAACAGACTTATTTAATGATACTATCATCTCCACAAGCAGAAAGCTGTCACCCAATCAGAGCCTTTAAAGTCTTTGAAACTGTCTGTCTTCAGTTCATGAAGCCCATCTGTCGCTCTGCAGGATCCCATTATCGCCCCCTGTTTTGACTTCCAGGTGCTGCCAACAGTGTTTTCATTGATTATAAATGTTGTTGTTGTGGAGCAGCACAGATGTAGTGGAGCTGAACATTTGAATGTCATAGGCCCGTGTCACTCAGATTAGAGCCTCTAATCTACCCAAAAAACAAAGCATAAATCTGAAATCCCTGCAACAGACTCATGTTGGCAACTTTCATAGCAACGCTGTGATTAGATACTTCTGCAAAGAGAATTGGGGGAAGAGACTGGAGACGGCTAACATGTTGCTACAGCTAACAGCACATGTTGGAGATAGACTGGAGACGGCTAACGTGTGGCTACAGCTAACAGTACATGTAGGAGGTAGACATCATGGTCAAAGGTGCGCTAACTCTTGCAAAGGCTGTGAGGCGCCGGAGGAGAGGGAAATGTGCCTGCTTGCTTGCGCATCTCTGCCGGCACTCACACTAACGTGCATATTTCTCTCTAATGCGCATTCTCTGTAAACTTTTCTCTAAGACATTTGCACTGTAATTCATGCACATAGCTGCACAACTGCACAGCGTCTCCAAAGCACATGTCATGTTTTTATATTCGATCATGTTTGTCATCGTTAAAGGAGATCTATTCTACTGATGCATCTTGAAATAAATACATATTACGTCATGGCGTTAGATGTCCGTACCAAACCTCTGCAAAGATACAGTTGTTGGCGTAATCTGTGGTTTCCTGCTGCTCTGTAATGCTGACAGTGAGGATCATAGATCTGCTTTAACACCACTTGTAGCATGGGAGTAGGTGTCAGGACTTAAAAACAATAGACAGACTCCAGAGAGAGGGTCAAAGAAGTTGAAACGCTCCTTTAGCTTTTCTCAGTTCTCTGAGGAAAGAAGCATGAATGGAGCTAATCTCCCCAGCAGGGGATTCCTCTTGGGCCATCTAATCTTAGCTCTCTTGCAAACACAGCGTGTCTGTTCTGTTGTCAGAGTGTATTCACACTGGGCTCTGAATGGTGCCATCACTCTCTGCGACTGTTTGCCCGTCTGGAGCAGAGTTAGATATTGACTTGCAGCTTTTGTTGTTGGAGGAAGAAACGGCTTCTCTGGCAGTCAGGAGGCTTCAACAGCTTTCTTTGTACAGAAATGGACGTCGCACTTGTTGAGCACAATGAACAGTCGGGATAACATGGTGTGAATGTCGGAGGCAGAGTGACTGAAGGCTTTTCTTACAGTCAGTTAAAGGGGGCATATTATGCGAAGTCCTCTCCTACAGTGTTTTTGAACATATATTTGGGTAACCTGAGTGTCTACTGACCCACAAAATGTGACATAAACCCATCCAGTCCTTTGTTTGTGGTCTGCATAAGTCTTACAACACAGAGAAAAATGCTCTGTTTCAAATGTGCTCTCCTTTTGATGTCACAGTGGGATTCTGGTAAAACAAATCCCCTCCCCTCCCCTGGTATCTCCACCAATGGACTCCACCCCCAGCCTAGAACAGAACTTTTGAGCAGGTCGACCATTTTTATTCTTGCTACAGAGGAGTGATGATAACTCAGGGGGGGCTCATTGCATTTGAAGAGACACACACACCAAAACAGAGCATTCTGAGAGAGCTGGTTTATACAGGGTCACAAACCTCCTCTGGTGCTTGATTCATGTTATATTTTGACCAAAGCACAGCACAGATGTTTCATTTAGACCACAGGGGACTGTTTGAAAAGGTGGAGGAGGGGGAGAATATGCTCTCTTTAAATAGAAATCAATAAATGGTCTTTATGATGAAGCTTTGTCAGCTTAGATTGTCTATTGTCCACAGACACCAGCAGAATAATGATAACCACAAGATAACGTCATGTCCTTTGCACTGTGGAGATCGTTGTACTGCAGGTTAAACATTTGAATCAGTAACGAGTGCAGCTTCAGCCTCTGGAAATGTTTCCTCGTCACTTGACAAGGTAATTCAAAACCACCCGAGCCTGCTGACTCTGCCGACAACACCCGTTCAGAGTGAACAGAATTTCCTGGTACACACAAATATTTGCGAATCAGCTTGGAGAGTTGCTTGGAGAGTGTTTCCACCAATCAGTGGGCTGCTGTCTGCAGCGAGACGAGTCTCCCTCATGCAGATGTGTGTGCGTGCGTGCAAGATGCACAGGGAGAACATGCAGACTCCTCACAGAGAGGCTCCTGTCAGACAGGGATTCAAACCAGGAACCTCCACACAGAGAGGCTCCTGTCAGACGGGGATTCTAACCAGGAACCTCCTCGCTGTGAGGGAACAGAGCTAACAACTGCAGCACCATGCAGCCCATTTCAAACCATGGCGGCTGTGTTTTGGACTCCAGCTGTAGAGAGGAGATAGACATCTTGCTGCAGACTTAGAAAGGGGAGTTGGATATATATATATTAGGTACATCCTTATTCCATTATCATTAATGCTGGCAGCAAATCTTAATGTTACACAGACAGTAAGCAGCCAATGAAGCAGCAGAGTTTAAGAACAGAGCACAGATAACAGGATCTCTCTCTCTCTCTCTCTCTCTCTCTCTCTCTCTCTCTTTCTCTCTCTCCTTATCTTCTCCTCTCTCTCTTTATCATCTCCTTCTGCTCTTTCCCCTCTCTCTCTCTCCTTATCTTCTCTCTCTCTCTCCTTATCTTCTCCTCCTGCTCTTTCTCTTTCTCTCTCTCTCTCCTTATCTTCTCCTCCTGCTCTCTCTCTCTCTCTCTCTCTCTCTCCCCTGATAAACCTCACAAACAGTCTGTCACATTCTTCTTCTCTCTCTCTTAATGGACGCTTCATGTCTCTCACTTATTCTCTCTCCCACCCTGCCGTCCAATAGGACTTTATTTTGTCCCCCCCCTACACATACTTCAGGAGAAGTTTGTCATTGTTGTTGCTCGAGTGAGCAGTGAGTGAGTGTGTTTAGTGTGTGTGTTCAGGAGTGGATAAGTGCAACCAACCCTGTTCTTGCCTGATTGCTGAGTAGTGCACACACACACACACACACACACACACACACACACACACCTAACCTTTATCCGTTCCTGTCTCTGTTTCTGTCACAGCTTTGAGTTAATTTCTCTCATTAAAAGAATAGCGATGTGATGAGTCAGCGTGCAGCTCGTGTTGATGTGGTCGACAGGTTCTTCAGGTCTGTAAGGTGTGGAAGTGACCAAGTCCATCGCACATCTTTATGTTTGAGGTGTCAGTCATTCAGTGAAGCGTCACTTCACAGTGTTGGTACATGTATGTTTGTTAACCTCTGCTGAACACACTCTGCAGTGTGTCGAAGGATGACCAATCAGAGCTCTGTCACAGCCCAGGCTGCAGCATAAGTGACTTGCTTTTTATTTTATTTACATCACGCAGACAAAGGTTTCACTCAGTCAGCGTAATGTGGAGGCTCAAATGTCCAGACATGGTCGGAGTACATACTGATAAGACCGGCTTTCAGGAACACCTGAGTCCTTTGAAGTCGCTGTGGCGGTTTGAACTTTGCAATGTCATGCAGGCTGTAAGATAGTCCTGATGATTCACTTCCTGGTGCACCAAGACCTTGACAACAAGCCAGTCCTACTGTTACTGATTGACCAGCTCATACTCAATGTATGAGTGTCAGAGTGTCATGGGTCAAGGATCTAGTGCGTGCATGTGTGTGTGTGTCAGTACAGAATGCTTTGTGGTAAACGGCGGTTGTGAATAATAGATATGGAGCGCGGCCTCAAGCCTGTTAAAAAATCCATGAGCTTCCTGTGCAGTGTTTACAGCTGAAATGTCTATAGGAGACAGGAACTCAGTTTACAATCTGTTTCAGTCAGGAGGAGGAGATAATCACAAACTCAGTACGGGAAAGCAAGGAAAGAAAGTTCTGTACATGCAAATATCGATGAATTAACCCTTTTTTGGCTCTCTGATTGGTCCGCTGACCACCAATCAGAGAGCTCCTTTTGCTGGGCAACTTCCGGTTAGACACACTTTCTCCTGGTCTGAGTCTCTTCAGTGCGTGTGTCTCAGTGATCCAAATTATTACGCCGCTACACAAACCCACAGCTAAATGCTATCCTTGCGCCTGACTCTAGGGCCAGTGAGCCCGTAACTTAATGCCTCTCCTTACGTGTTGCGTAAACGTGAAGGTGTCCTGCC